TTAAATTCTACTATTTTAAATATAATTAAACTATATAAATATAAAAATAATAAAATATTTATTAAACTAATAATACCTATAAAATAATAAACTAATATTAAAATTAAAAACTAAAATATTCTATTATATAATAACTATTAAAATTAATATACTTAAAGTAAAAATAAAGTAAACTATTAACTATATAATAATATATAAAATTATAAAAGTTAAAACTATTAAATATAATAATAATTAAAAAAAGAAATATTAATATCTACCTAATAAAGTTAAATTTAATAATAAAACTAACTTTACTAAATATAAAAAAGTATTTTATATTACCTTATAACTAACCTAAACTATATTATAAAGTTTAAAAACTAATCTTTTAAAAAGACTACTACCTTATATATAATTATAAAATAAACTATAAAAACTATTAAAATAAATATATTAAAAATAAATTTTATAAAAATTAAATTATTTAACTTAATACTATTATTAATAATAATATTATTATAAAGTTATTAACCTTTATTAATATTAAAATTAAAAGTTATTTAATTATATAAAAGTATAATTTTAATAAAAATAACACCCTTTAATTTAAAAAAGAAATATATTATATATATTATATTTAATAAATAAAAATTTAAGTAAAATTATTATAATAATACTTTAACTATAAAAATAAAAAAGTATTAATAAAATTAACTTAAATTTAAAATAAATATACCTTTAAATTTAATAAATATTATAAATAAAAATTTTAATAAATACTAATATTAAACTTATAATACCTTAAAAAAAGTTATTAAATAAAAAAATTTCTATAACTATTAAAAATAATATTAATATTAATAAAATTTAAAATAATAATAATAAAAATTATAAAAAATAAAATAATAATAAAACCTTCCTTATTAAAAATAAAAAAGATTTATATATAATACCCCTTTAAAAATAATTAAATATTCTTTCTTAAAGCTATATTTTAATAATTATAAAATAACCTTCTTCCCTATTAGGGATAATAAGGTATTATTTTAGATAAAACCTCCTTTAAAAATAAGAAAATATTAACCCTTAAAGCTATATTTTAATACTTATAGAATAACCTTTTCCCCTATTAGGAATAATAAGGTGCTATTTAAGGTAAAAAGTCTTATAAAAATGGGAAAAAATTGGCTCCCAAAGCTAGACTGCCTTAAGGGCTGCCTTGACGGCGTTCTTGACCTCGTTGGGCTTGGACTGCCATGTTCCCAGACCCAAGGCGGGGATCTGGGCGCCCGTGTTGAGGGTGTAGGTCTTGCTGGTGGTGTGTTAGTGAATCGAGCTGGCGAGGCGGGAGACGTGGGTGCTCACGTGGTGTTCTGGGTGGTAGCCATGGTTCCTGACTGCCAACGGACGTATCTGATGGGTATTAAGGTGTATCGTATCTGGGTGAAGGTCTTGGGGGATTACAGCACAGCGATACGGGGAGATGAGGGAGCTCTGGAGGAAGAGAACGAAACGAGGTGAGCGCCAGCACAGCTATTTATGATGGTGTACTCAAGTACTTAAAGGAGGTAGCACACCCCACCACCAGTTCTACGGAGCAGATTACAAAATGATAAGAGCAAGCATGTAGACTATCGGACCGAAACCACGGCCAGGCCAGAACTAGGGAAGAACCCGTCGACTCCCTTGGCTGTGAGGCCATTAAGCGATCGGTGATCTGCAAAGCCGGGCGAGCTCTCACCATGAGAAGGCCCAAGGTCGACGCGGAATGATACCCCGCCGTGGGGCATCCTGTGAAATGGCCCAGGTCCCGCCCAGACGTCATCAGGATCCTCCCTCCGTCATTGGTGCGGTTGGAGACGGTGGGGCATTCGTTTCTCCCCATGAGCTACTGCTGTGGTAATTTCAACCTCAATTCAGCCGCCTCGGTGCCTCTTTGTTTTATTAACCATGTGGACCGTGGTTGTCGCAGGCAACGTCCCAGTCAGCTTGCTGTGGCAACTTCTGCACCGCCTTGTGAGGCACTTCGGATCAGCCACTTCCCACCTCAACGCAGCAGCCTGGCAGAACATACACATGGGCAAGTGGTTGCCACTAGCCCTGTAATTTGACGGGATTTATGCAAAGAGTCCCCAGGAGGGAAGAGTGCACCCTGCAACAGATGCAAGACCATGGAGGGGGCATGTTAGACTCAACAAACTTGCTCTGCTGCACAAAACCAAAGTGCTTTTCTGTGTTTTTCTGTGTTCAAGATCACAGTGTGCTGTCTCAGAAAAACGAGAGTTGGCCCCCCCCCCCCTGTTTTATTACCCCTATTAAAAATTTTAAAGGTTTATTAAAAAGTAGTCTTCTTTTAATAACTCTATTAATACTTAACTTAAAAATATATATAAAATATATTTATAATTTTTATTAAAACTTTAATATAGTAATATTTTTTAAATATTTATTATTAAATCTTTTTTATATAAAGTATAAAGATTATTAGGTTAATAAAATAAGTAAGTATATAAATCTATTAAATAGTTTAGTTTATAACTTTAATAATATATAAACTTTAAATAAAGATTATTTTAAAAATTCAATCTTATAAAAACTTTTATAAGGATTATAAATATATTTTTTATATATTTTTAAGTTAAGCATTAGGAGAGTTATTATAAGGAAATTACTTTTAAAAGGGAGTGTTTAACTTTTGAACCGGGGGCATTTTGCAGGGGGGGGCCAACTCTAGGGTGTGTTGAGCATCATGCCCCATGCTTCAATCACATACAACACACTGCTGTCGTAACACCACCACATCTTCAAAAAGTTCCATAACATAATGAGAAAACTTCTACGTCTTACCAACTTCTGCTTTGTCATTCTGTGAGAAGTTTTCCTACAGGAAGTTGATAGGTTACCCTAGAGGAGATTGAGATGGCCACATGCTGGGGCGTGTAGCAGACACTCGAGCATAGCTTGTTGATCATTAAGGTGAGGTGGATTTTGCTCCTCATGATGATAGTGCATGTCCACTATAACTGCCATGACTAGCATGGAAGTCTCAGAACCATAGCCAAGTTGGGGACTCGAGAGAGCCTGACCTCATCCCAAGCATCAGCCTAACCTGACAGGGTTTGAGGTAGGTGTTTGTATCAGTCACTTGTGTGGCATCAGATGAAAGCTTCTTTTGGCTGTCATGTAAATACCTACCTGGAATGAGAAATGGACTTTAGGGCAGGTTCTGGTGATATGAGGCTTCTGGAAGGCCCATGGCTGGTTGCCTCTTTGGGCGTGCTCGTTGGTTTTCCTGGCTGCCCAGCAGGATGATTGTCAGTGTCTTCATCAGAAGTATACCCATGCCTTCAAGGCTTACCTATGTTAGGCAGTGAACATTCCATTATCCCTTCATTACCTCTGGACCAATAAAGTGGCTTAAACGTCATACTACCTGGGTAGGTAGATTGAAGTGTATGAGTCCCCGTCTATAACATCACTTTGAAGTGTTACTGCTGCAATGAGCCTGATCAAGACTGTCGATCTTGTTTGATAGTTCTGAGCAAATATAGCGCAATGCTGCACATGTGATGATCAAGTATGGCGTAGTTTGGCTAAATCTCCCAACATTGAAGGCTATATGCTAAAATCGTTACAAGAAGAGTCACCATACAACACCTTACTCACTCATCAATCCTGTTTGTCAATATCAAGACCTATACCTAGGTATATATACACGCTAATTCCCAAAAACATCAACTTTCTCAGGTGAAGACCTCCAAGCAGATGTTCAAGGTGGTGTACTGAGAGAGTGAGTCATTGCCTCATCATACTTGTCCATCATTTCTGCACTCCATGTGACATATGGTGTAAAGAATCTGCTTTCGTTTGATTTAGAGGTCTTGTAGTCAACAGTCGTTTGGCTTTTGAGCAAATGCAACTAGCGTCCAGGTGACACATGGCTCTTTTACAAACGGCGACAGGTACCTATTTGAAGTGCCTCCACCTTCCTTCATTTGCAAATTACAATGTTTGCACAGGCAATTTCTGACATCTCTCAACAATCACTCACTCCTTCTTACTGTGTGGACATATAAATACACACTGCAGCTAAACGCTACACATACATCAGTGAGTAGTCCAGAGATTTATCCTCCTGTAAATAGATCATTTTGTCTGATAGCCCCTTCCAGTACATTATGGCAGACCCTTCCAGGGTTGTCTCTGTTGACGAGATCACCTCTGGTCTCTTCATTGGCAACATGGCTTGTGTTGAGAGCGAGAGTGCCTTGAAGCAGCTGGGAATCACTGCCGTTGTATCGGTTGTCTCAAATCATCGCAAACCATTTCCCCAGTCAAGTACTCCACGCTCCCAATCGACACGCTGCCAGCATCCCTTGGAGAAGTTATACCACTTGAAGGACCGACTTGTCATCTTCGTTGATGACACTGGTTGGGACAACATCTTCCGGCATTTCCAGGACGCCTGTGAGTTTATCGACTACAAGTTGCGCAAAGCCAGCGGAAGGGGTCAGGTCGGCATTGACAGGGTGGCTTCTGTGGAGAGAAGGGAGCCTGGCCGTGTTCTTGTCCACTGTACTCTTGGTATTTCCCGGTCCCCCACCATCGTTGCGGCATACATCATGTGGAAATGGAGATTCCGCGCAGCTCAGGCTCTTCAATACATCAAGGGGATGCGAAGAACGATACGTCCAAACTCCGGATTCATCGACCAGCTGCTGGTTTGGGAAGAGCTGAGATGTAACCCCTGGTTGAGCCGGCGGTTTCACATCCGGCCTCAACCATACTACGACATGGTGAATCGACTCGAGAATTACAAGCGCATCCGAGAGGTTGAAAAGGCCATCGAGGGATCCTCGAGAGAAAACAATACGAGGGACAGTCAACGGACAAGGAGCGGTACAGGAGTGCATCGCGTGGCGGGGAACATATTCAGATTCAGCACAAGAGTCAAACGTTGAGGGAAAGCCCGTACTGGGCTTGTGTGATTCGAATGCATTCACGCAGTATCAATGCATCTAAGCCTTTTTGCAGGCCACAAAGTTGTTGCCCGAGGCCCCGGTGTGAGTGATCAGCGCGTCCAACTTTCCCTTGCTGTCGAAAACAACCCTGTCGGCACCAGGAGATCCGCCCGTGTAGACCTTGTACGACGACAGGATCGGGAACTCATACCACGGAGCCGCGGTCGGGAAGCTGAAACCTTCGTAGTTGTTGTACTGGTGAGGGTAGCCACCTGCGGATTTAATTGTAAGCACTTGGGCCTGCTCGAAGCTGGCATCTCAATCCGATGGGAACATACCTGGTGCGCTGCCGGACTTGTAGTTGGAATAACCCGCCGCCAGGGCGTCGTTAATGTCCACTTGCTACGCGGGACCAAATGTCAGTGATAAGAGTCCAATTATTGTTTCGTTTTCATAGACTTACCCAGTAGCAGACGGAACCACAGGTGTAGACACAGTCTGCGGCTGCGGCCTTGACCTGTGGCACGGCTACGGTCTCAACGGTGGGCTCGACCACGGGCTCGACGGGGATCGCTACCGAAACGGCGGCGGAGGCGGACAGAACCGCGAGGAAGAGAGATTTGAGCTAGCACCTATGTCAATTATTCGTTCTCCGCCTCACCATATCCGTTCCCTGCTCACCATGGTCACAGCCTTGATATCAGCGTCTCAAAATGCTTTGATTGGAAGCTGGCCTAATGCTACAGAAGCCTGTGTTGTGGAGGAGTGATGGTTGAGCGAAGCTGGCGCGCCTGTCCAGACATGATCGGCATGATCAACCGAACACCTCCCTTTATTTATGTTCTTCTGTTCTCCAAGGGAGAAAGTGGATTTGGATGCTGGCGTTCCTCCCTCATTTCCTCATGAGCATAGCAATGCCCAATGATACACTACGTCTGTGCAGGCGTAGCAGCCGGCCGGGTCCTATATCCGAGACGGGAAGGACAAAGAGACAAATGCATCCGGGCCATCCACCCACGTGAGCGAGTGTGTGGCATCTAGATAGCTGCTTATCTGTGCGAGTCAACCAGATCAAACCGCCAAAGTGGTCCCCCGAGATGCCACCTTCTCGATCCATACAAGCTCAGCCAAGCCCATCCCGGTAGTGGGAATCCGAATAGGAAGACCGAGCACCGTCCGCCCATTTGGACGTGTTCGTTCGCCGGAGCGGCGTGCGCGTGCCGGACCAATGATTGGTGCAATATACCCCGGCAGATCGTCGCTGCCTGCTGGAGTGGTCTGCCAATCACTGGAAGGGCTTGGCTGGAAGGAGAACGCGAGTGCCGGGATGCCGGTGGGCCAAAATACAAGCTTAATTTAGCGGCTCCGTGTCAGGTTGTTGATGGGTGATACCCCTAAACTCTGTTTGGGTGCTCAAGATATCAAAGAGCTGACGGACCTCACCGATACTTTCTTCTGAGCCTGTGAGCATTGCAGCTTGTCAATATCCAGTATCATGTCGGTGCGGGGCCAAAGCCCAGTCTAATGCACCTGTGACTAGCAAGCAACGAATATGCGACCTACATCGGAACTGCGTTCATTCGCGCTCATCTCCGTATCTTCTTGCATGAAGCCGCCACACGTGCAGCCATCTCGTGAGAAATCATGTCCTGGAACAATCTCTTTTTGTGGCCGCCAAGTAGCTTATCACGGTCTGGACCCACGCCAGCGACGATTCTTGCAGCTCACAGGCTTGGTGCCTCCTATTCTTTGACACTTGCTGGAAGTGTCGATTTTACCGGCCGTAGGTAATTAGTCTGGCATTTACAGACCTCACGGGACGTCCATTTCCTCACCTCTCCCGGTTGGATGTTGTGAGACTCCACTCGACTGAGCAGATAGCAAGTTCTGTCTCGGAACCAAATAATCCCAATGACCCTTGTATAATAGCGGGCCCGGGGGCTTATTTCCAAGACTTTTGTCGTTTACATGTCTGAGGTATATCCAGATGAGATTTAGCTTCAAGCAGGGTTACTTTCAGAGATTAAAGGTACGAAATGTACAAAGTTAAGTGCGAGGGCAAAGTTGGTGCATTATTTATTCTAATTGCTCTGCTCTTCCCCAATGCTTAATAGACATTACACCTTGAGCTGGCCTCCTGTATCACTTATGGGGTCATCCTATTATTTAGCCTACGAGGTGTCAAGTAGGAGTTCAGAGGCAGCTTTTCTAATAGGTTAAAAGCCTTCTGCGACTTGCTCCAGCTCCTGGTGTGTTCGGCCAATCTCATCTCAAAAATCCAGATCACCCTAGTCATAATGATTCTTATTTCGGTGGTAGCATGATATCCAAGGTGTGAACACGCCCCATATCAGCTCATTTTCCAATGACTAGGGCAAAAAGAGCGGATCAATGACACGCCGACTTACTTCGTTCCGACGCAATTCCTCGGACCAAACGCAAAGAGCTTCCTGGCTCACCTCCCATCGCTGGCGAAACGAGTATCGCCCATCCAGCGCTCCGGAACAAATACCCCATAGATTACATCTCCTTAATTCATTGTTTGCAGTGATGGGTGAGGCAAGAAAAAACCAAGAGTCTCGTCCATGATTACTGACAGATACGGCGTGTTCTGGATGTTGTCAACATTTATGTCTGCTTCGGGTTTGAAAGCAGAGATAGGTTCAGCCTTGAGTTTAGCTAACGGACCTAGACATAGCGTTAAGAAATACCCATGGGTCTCGGTTCTTTTTCAACCCATGCTGGCGCAAAAGCGTAGGGGCCAACCGAAGGTCTAACCCCTAGGTATCTAGGTACGCAGCTGCTAGTAAGGCGGTTGGTAATGTCTCAGAGCCACCAAGTAGAAGGAAATGAAAGGCAACGCCTCCATTCCTTTCTTGCTTTTTTCCTTTTCACGTGGGATAGATTAACCAATCTAGATGCTATATAAAATTGCAGAATAGTTAGCAAGACTCCTCACTTATAAGGCGTTCTTATAAAATCAAATGGTGCAACATTATAACGCCACCTCTTTCCCATTCGACCTCTTACAGAGAGCTAAGCCTCGGCTGTGATCTTAGAGCCACGGATCTTGATGTTAGGCTATTTAGTATTCAATACTTGTGATGCTCAAGAATTAAGAAGAGAACAGCTCTAGATAGATCGCATCATAGACTATAAAATCTGGAAAAGAGGTTGTTGCGTATACTGGACTGCTACATAGCAAGCCCCTTTCTAGATGTTTACCCCGTCTCTGAGATTCGATCGCTACCTAGAGGGTAGTTACCCTTGGCCGTTGGGGTTCCAGGTCAGGAGTTCACAATCACGAACTTCTTCCGTGACCCTCTTGCCATCTCCTCATAAGCTCCCACAGCACCGTCGAGCTGGATCTCCGAGTTTTGGCTGATGTCAGGCAACTGAAGCTCTCCAGATTTGAAGAGGGGTAACAATTTCCTCAAAATACCGGCCATGCTTTTCACATCATGCGATACGCTGTTTGTGCCAATGATAATTTGCTCCTTGCGATAAAGTTCTTTGAAATCAACCTCTGCCGAAGTGCCTCGATTGTTGGGAGACCCTGTTGAGATAACTGGCGAGGTGTGTCAGTAAGTGCAAAGACGTTGAAAATTTTAAGTGTCACTTACTAGACAGTCTCCCTCCAACACTTAGATTTCGGATCCCTGCTGCCTGCAATGCTATGTCCCCCGTAGTGTCAACAACAATGTCAGGCCCTCTGCCGTCTGTTGAGTTGAGGACAGTGGCCAAACTTGGATCAGCAGCCGAGTCCACATCATATCTGTCGCCGCGTCCAGCTGTCAAAAGGCGACAGCTGAACAGAGAGCTCTTCACAAGCTGCGATACAGCATTGCCGACTTGACCAGAAGCACCGAGTACTAGCACAGTATCGTTCTGCACAGGAGACGCTCGGGACAATGCAAGGTAGGCTGTCGTCCACGGTGTGCCCAATAGGCCCACTCGCTTGACATCGAGATCGTCCGGCACCTCGACGACTCCTTCCTCATCAACGACAACGAACTCAGCATGCGCGCCGTCCCTTGTGAATCCAAGAACAGGCCCGGAGGTGCCAGCGACTGTCTTTCCATGCCAGTTGGAATCAGCCGGAGCGACGACCGTACCAGCGAAATCCCGACCAGGTATGCGAGGAAAAGTCGTGAGCGGGAAGTTGCCTTGCGTGTTGAGAAGATCCGATGGCTGCAGCGGCGATACTGCCACCTTGACGACTAGTTGACCGGGCTGGGGGGTGGGTTGCGGTCTTTCTTCGAGAGAGAGGCTCGTGTGCTTTTCGTTGCCTTGCGACACCGAAGATATGACGACTGCCTTCATTTTCGACTTGTTTTGGTGATGAGGTCGAATTTTTGTTGGTCTACTTGTCGGTGAACAGCACGCGAGGCTTGCAGACGACACAGCTGGTAGTGGTGAGTGATGCAAGGCCGGCCTTGAGCATGGAAACGAAGAGCTTTATCCTCAGCGAATCCCCCAACCTCCTACGCGAATATGCCGCGATCCGATGTAACCACGAAGCATCTTCTCTAGCTCGCCGTTAATTCGTCCCTAACTCGCCATAAAGATTCCCCATAGCTTGCCCCTAGCTTGACCCTAGCTTGTTGTGCCTTTGGCCCCGCTTTGCTTGCCCGTCAACGAGACCCCTGCTAAATATGTGCTTAGTACGAGGCGGCAATTTGGAATCGTAGACGCCACAAAGAGCGCAAGCCCCCCACCCCTCTTTCAAACGCTTCAATGTTATCCGATTCGAATCAAAATGTTAAGGAGGGGCACATAAACTGCAGCTGTCCTAAAGTTCACATTTTCTACTTAGGTACCCAGTGTTCAACAATAAGCTTCCCTTATCATGTTACATGTTCCTCTTTCTGATTCTTGGCTTCCATCTCGACTTTTACTCTGCGATATTCCTTTGTTGCGTGCCCCCAGAGGAGTGCTAACTGAATTTGTCAGGTGTGTGAAATTAAATTTGACATGGCCATTGCAAGACCCCGGGCAACGGCTGACAGTATATAGCAGTCTTAAACATTAAAGCGGACACTAAACCAAGTGAACACATTTTCAACTGAAAGCTACTGTAAACCCTCATAAATTCTTGATCGATCTGAGTGGCTGCTGGAGGTATTAGCATGAAGATAACATCTGATCACATAGAATAAATAAATAGAATATTAATATCAATCGGCACTTAGGTATTCTTAACTTATTTATTGAAGAAGACATACGAAGGACCATTAATAGCAAAGAATTCTCCGATCAATCCAACCAAATCCCGTTGCGCAAGTTTTCTGCATAACCCCTTCAACACATGTGCAATCAACAAAAGCTCCTAGATTGCAAGGTTAACAGGGAGTGCAGCCCCTAGATTTGGGTTTACTAGGCTGGTACTCTTTTCTTAAGTTGGTTCTGGCTTTACTCTTCCTTATAGCATGGTCTTGTTCATGATTGGTGTCGGTAGGATTATGAGGTTCCAGATTACGGTCTGTAAGTCTGGAACGTTGGGACTCGGTGGCGTATGTTGCATTCGGCGGCGTCCGGTCGCCCGGCGGCACTTGTTGATTCGACGGTGTAGGGACTGCCTCTACCCACTCCATGATGGTCTTGTTATCTGGGGGGGAAAACATTTTTGTTAGCATGTGTCTTTTCGGGATGTAAAGGATTTGCAAAATTTACTCCAGTAATGGTCATCACTTAGCGGTTGGTCGCCGAGATGCTTGTTACTATTCAGAAATTCCTTTGACGGCATTTTCAGGTTCTTTTGGCAGTCTCTAGATATTTGCGATATATTTCAATGTTTGGATTTAGATGAGTATAACATTGAGCATTGAGCGAGTAGAAATTTCGTCCGGGAGCGACACATACTTAGATATTTATATCAGAACGAAGCACAATATTGCTCAGTCCAGCCTTTATGACTCGCCTAACTTCGGCTTTAATCCAGCAACGTTGTGACTTACAACCTGGTATGGATCACAGGCCCGATATGAGTTCGTTTCTTTCTCAATGTGACGCATGGGCTGTCATGTCTGGTCCCAAGGTCCTTCTCATGGATGCCGCAAGTTTTCTTGTGCCCACTTTCAACAATGAGCACAATGACTCCTTGCGAGTATACGATGACCCATAGTACTCAAACAGTATGCTCCTAATTCCAGTCCGATATCTTCGATAAGCCCTTGACGAGGAGGCTGCACTGGAGTTTGCTGTTGGACAGCTTCGCTGACTAAGCGGGGCAGTCTGAGACGGGTGAGATAAATCTCGGGGAAAAATTCACCTAACAGCAGTAAGTTCAACCACACCAGGGGTAACGCACATGCTGCAAAGGCCCATACGCCACTGGCCCAGTCGAAAGAGCTTCCCCGCGGCCCGAGGACCAGCGAATGATGGGGAAATACGACCGCAAGGAAAAGTCGCAGCCGAAACATGGCAAGCCCACGAGCAGCGGCGCGTCAAAGGCGCCACCACCGCTGACCCGCGGCTATCCAGGCTGGAGCGGGCCTACTTACATCCACAAGAAGAAGAAGAAGCCGCAGCAGCCACCTTCGACGGCCTCGGGGCCGGCGGAGCCCCCGAGGCTGGAGCACGTCCTCCCGGTCGACCTGGAGCAGCTCATGATCAATGTTTTCCGCACCACCTTCCCCGCGTGCAACGACTTCGAGGCGCTGAAGCCGACGCTGCAGGAGATCAAGGACGCGCTGTTCCGGAGGGACTTTGACATGGCCTTTGGCAAAGACGAATTCCTGGAGGCGTACGCGATCCGGTGGAGTCCCAGCCGGGCGCTGGGGTACGCGCAGCTGATGGCCTGGATCTGTGAGGAGAGGGCCGAGGATGAGTGCATCCAGCGGCTGCTTGGTGGCGACGGTGATGAGGACGAGCAGATGCCAGCCAAGGTGGTTTGCTTTGGAGGTGGCGCGGCTGAGATCATGGCTTTTGCCGGTCTGTTACGACATCTACGGCCGGCGGACGCCGCCGGGATACCAAACCCACCGTCAGAGGACGTTGCGAAGGACCTACAAGCCTTGTCGATATCAGATACTGGCTCTTCGCCAACAGTCCTTGACCTTCACCTTATCGACACGGCGGACTGGTCCTCAGTGCTCTCGAAACTACAAGAGTGCCTCGAGACCCCTCCGACTCTTTCCAAATATGCCAGCGTGGCAGCACGGGCCGCAAATGCCTCATTCCTCTCGCCCGGGTCTGTCAACCACACCTTCACACGCTGCGACGCACTGGGCCTCAGCACAGAAGACCTCCGGGCGGCCATTGGCCCGGATCCCGCACTCCTCACACTCCTCTTCACCCTGAACGAGCTGTACACAGCCTCGATGCCACAAACGACATCCTTCCTGCTCAGGGTAACAGAAGCTGCCCCAAAGGGGAGCTTGCTGCTTGTGGTAGACAGTCCTGGGTCTTACTCTGAGACCGCTGTTGGCAGTGCCAAGGAAGGAGAAGAGAAGAAGAAATATCCCATGAGTTGGCTAATGGACTATGCGCTTGTGCCGAAACCAAAAAAGAAGGCCGCGGATGATAAAGGCGCGGAGGAGGAGCCGGCCCCTGCCTGGGAAAAGGTCATTTCCGAGGACAGTCTGTGGTACCGGTTGGAAGAGGATTTAGAGTACCCAGTCAGCCTGGAGAACATGAGGTTCCAGGTTCATGTGTTTAAGCGTGTATGAGCATAACATTAGAATCCAGCGCCCACTTGATGGGAGGCGTGCTGAAGAAATATGAATCAGAGAATAAGCGTGTGTCTTGATCTCTGCCAGGAGACTCTTCTTCAATGCCGAATGTTTCCAAGTCCACCCACCTATAAACAGCGTGTAGCAATCAGGATGACAGGTAATGCCTCTGTTAGATTCATCGTGGCGTATTATTAGCACCTCCAATCCTCACTCGCTCATGTGCATCTCATTTTGGTTCAGAGACTTATCAAACTCTGAGCTCAAGGACCTGAGATGCCATCATAACTTCGAGCTCTTTGGCATCTCATTCACATTGTTGCTCCTGCCGGCTCCTGGCCCCTCATCAAGTTTGAGGCTCCTTGCTTGCCCTCCACCAGGGTGATGGTCAGGTCCGGATCTCTAGAGTATACTCGGAGGCAGGCGACACAGACAGCGTTCCACTTATCGCAATCGTCCTCGCTGTCATCCGAGTCGGAAGACTGATCCAAGGGCGGATCCGCATGCACATCGATATGCAGATGCCTCCCGTATTCTGCTTCCGCTCCTCCTTGTGATCGCTTAGGCCTTAGTGGGAGGTCATGTCCTGGTCTCTCAGGTTGGAGCGGCTCTTTACCCTGCCGTGACTCGCCATCTCCAACTTGAGTGTGGTTGGTCACTGCAGGTGGCGTCTCCGTGGGCATGTCGCCGGGCTTCCGGGCCTCATCACCGTTGGTTTCTGGGCCCTCGGCCGCATCTTGAAACTCGTCAAGCTCGGCTTGGTCTTCCGATCTGCTGCCATCTCCCTCACTTGGCTCCGGCTCATCTGGCGACACTATGTCGACGTTGAACTGCACACCTTTCCCGCGGATGTGAGAATGCTGGATTTTATTAGGTTTTGGCTTGCTCTTGGACCTCTCCAGCTCAATATTCATATCCTCGTCTGGACTGTGATCGGCTTGTTAGCTGGCCATTCCATGGGGACAAATAGACAATTTGGCAGATTCGTTACCCTCCCAACAACTGGATTGTACAGTCGCTGCTTTGGGGAGGAGTAACATGTCAACAGCTTAAGATTTTGAATCAACTCACATTCCTCCCTTCGCGTGCGCAAGGTCATACTGCAATCCCACCTGCCTGAGTTTCTGTGGGTTGAAGGCCGCATACTCCGGGACCAAATACTCGACAGGGTCCATTTTGCCGCGCTGTGCGGTGATCTGCGGAACGACCTCGTACTGGCCAACTTCAAGCTGTATTTCAGAACTGACCGACCGATCTGTCTTCCCGCGGGTTGGGCGGGCGGCGCAGATGTAGTCCCCGGACTGACCGCCCTGCTTCCGCAGGACGAAGTGAAGGCTGAAGCGGTACTGGCCCTCCAGACCCCTGAAATAGCGTGTGTCCAACTAGGATCGAGGTGAGTATGCGGGCTCGCATATGACGTGCATGGACCGGAGACTCACTTGTGCCATGACAAGTACAAACATGCCGGCTTTCTTGACATCAATAATAAACTTGGTGCGCAAGTATCCAGTGACCCATGACACGCTGCTGCTCGCCCACTGTTGGATGACCGTCCAGCGCTCGTCGAAGAGGCGAGTGCGATAGATGTACCCGAAGGTCTGAAGCATATCTCCATACTCCATCCAGAAGATGCCGTCGTTTCTGAACCGGTGGTCGAGCTTCTCCATCCAGTACGGTGTCCACTCTTCAGCACCGTCTGACCACCTTCCATTCCACTCCCCCATCCTGCCTCTAGGATCTCTCTTCCCCCAGGGATTCCTGCCGCGGTCAGTGACCATTCATACTGTGCGTTGTCAAGGCATGTCAGTCGGCGTTCTGTAATTACCTGATCTTGACCAATCGAACCGAGCTCCTTCCATCCTCAGTATCTACTTCGACAGCTTGGAGTATTGTATAAGCATGGCCTAATGTCACCCCTGAGTCTGCCTCTACCCCGCCAACTCGATTAGCACTCAAGCCGAAAACGAACTGGCCGTCCGACCCGCTCAGCTCTTTCCACAACCTGTCCTTTCTCAAGACCTTGTTGGCGGCGATGGTCGTGGTAACCCCACCGGTCATGTCCTCGACGCCGTCTCCGACATAACCACCGTCAATGGCCTCGTAGTCACCATGTGCCTTCGCATACGCCTTCTCCATGAGCGGCAGCCAAGTCTCGTTCTGCTCGGAGCACCGGCTGAAGAAGAGGGCCTCAGAACCCTTCTGGTTTATATCTCTGAACTTGGCGGACTCGGAGCCGTCCGGGTCGAAGAATTCCGGGGCCCTCTCCCGAAAGTCCTGGGAGCGGAGGTACAGGTTGTCGTCGACGATGGTGGAGATCCACTCCCCGTCGCGCTGGAACACAAAGCCGTACACGCCACACTCCTCGTCCCGCGCGACACAGATCTTGTCCATCAGGTCCTTGCGGTGCGCAATCGTCGAGATGGCGGCCAGCCACCAGCAGTCGCCGCCCACGCCCTGCTGGACGTCCGTGTGCGAGTACCCGTTGACGGTGAACTGCGGGTTCCTGAAGATCCAGTCCAGACGGTGCACCGAGCCGGGCAGCCCTGGCCCTTGTGGCTCGGTGCTGGCTGCGCTCACCGCACGGCGAGACGGAGGGCGAGGGGACGGCGAAGGAGATGGGGAGCCGCGGCCGCGGCGGCGACCACGACCACGACCGTCTTCTGGCACGGGCGGGAGGCGTATGCCATACAGGCAGTTCCACTTCCTCGTGACGAAGTCGGACTCGATGTCAAAGTCCGGATCTGTGAACTTCTCGTTGGTGCGCTCGCACTCCTCCCTGATCCGCCTGACCTTGTCGCGGCATTCCCTGGCTGCGATGTCGTAGCTCTCGGCGGCGTTGCGAGCCGAAGACGCGCCGCGGGGGTCCGGGTGGGCTGGTAGGAGGCTGGCGTATAACAGACGGGGGAAGATGGACGTTACTTTGCTTGGGCGCCTGCGCGAGAACTTGTACCAGAAAGTGTTGACTTCGCCCTGCGGGGTCCGGGGAACTTGACGGCCAGCACCCATTGTGCCTTCAAATGAGCCGACTTCCAAGGTGAGGGTCGTGCGAGATTGTACATACAGGAGACCACTCAACTTTGAGTACTCAAAGGTCCTCGCTGGTGCGGAGACGAGCTCCCAGCCCAGGAGAGAACCAACCCACCATGGCAATGGTAGTTGTGATAGGACGGCCTGACGCTCGTGTGCGGCACAGCTGCGCTGCTCCTTCTGGACAAATGCAACCACGTGTGCGGCGCTTGTCTGCATGCGCTTTGGCTCACCCCCGCGGTTGTCATTGATCCTCCTCAAAATTATTTCCTTTGATGATTTCACTGCGACAGCATATGAGCGTGCCAAGAAAAAATTTAAAAAAGAATTGCAATTCTCTACCCGCGGAATTTCAGCGGAGTCCAAAGCATGCATGATGGCTTCGTTGCTGATTCGGTGTGCTTTCTGACGATGAAAGCGGGCGAGGCAACCCCCGGGCCACGCCTCGGGACTATCTACTGCCATCGAATCTGTAACACTCCACACAATGTGCAATTCTCATCATTTGAAAATGTGCAGGTCCATCCTCCACCTGCTCGTGCCCAGTTCTGTCTCCAGCCAGCCAAGCGTCGACCGCAACCATAGACAACTCGTCGTCAGCGGCTGGTTGTTCTCGCAATAGATGCCGATCCTCCCCAGGTTGAGGCCACCCGACGCCCAGGTGCGTCAGTCGTGTGCGTCGCCTCAAACGACTCGGACCAGGCAAGGAGAGGCGCACAGCCTGGTAATCGGAATCGTCCAGAATACTGGCACACTGAACCCCAGCATGAAAAGGATGCCCGTCAGTCGGCCAATGCCATTACTCTGATTCCTCGTTGAAGGAAGGGTCTGTCTTGCTCCTTGCAATGATTTCCTTCTCCAGCGCCATAGCGGAAGCGAGCCTCCCGCTCCTCACGTCGTCAGCGTCCATTTTGTGCTGCCAGATGAGTCTCAGAGCTGTGAATTGGCCCACAACGCTGCCCCGAACAAATTCCTCGATGATGAGCCGCGCATTAGCACCCTTCTGCAGATATTGCAGGGCTCGCTCGAAGAAGCCCTCTGCGCATGCCATCAAGAAAATAGTCCAAGGCCCATTACTTCCATAGCAAGAGGAGTCGATATCCGCGCCTTGCTCCAGGTATTTGTCTACCAGATCGAACTTGCGGGCAGCAAAGGCCACGTGCAAAGCCGTTAAGCCGGTAACACCCTCGGCATTGATATCAGCAGCGCTGTTCGCAATGAGATAGTCCACAATTTCGTTCCTCCCGAAACGTGTGGCGACAAAGAGGGCTGGTACCCCGCCACCCACATCCTCAGCATCTGCCCCACGTGCAAGCAGCAGTTTTGCAGTCGAGGCATGCCCCTTGCAAATCGCGTAGTGTAGAGGGATCCACTCTCCAGCTTCCCTCCACGGGTTTTTTTCGAAATTGAGACGTGGAGGAACGGTAGAGCCAGCCAAGGAGGAGAAGCGTAACATACAATGGGAACAATTGCACAGTCCGAATGACATCCCTTCGAGATCTGCACCTTTGTCAAGCAGGTACCGCACCATGGAGTTTCGTCCATGAATTACGGCACATGCAAGAGGGGTGGCCCAGATGTTCTGCTCAAAGTTGATAGCCTTTGGCATATATGCCTTGGTGAACTTGAGTCCGTCCATCGCCGTCCCGAGTTCGTCGAGGGGTGGGTGTCCATCATCGGATCCAAAATCCATGTGGGGGTTCATGCCGTTCTCGATAAGCAGCTCCAGAGTTCGTTGTCGTTTGTTTTTGATAGCCCAGTAGACTTGCAGTACATAAATTAGCTTCAATGTTGTGACCGGTACAAATGTTTGCATTGATGCTTTGCGACTGCTTTCTGTGCACAAAACTCACTAGCTAAACCATGACTCTGCTCAATGTGTGCCTTGTATGCAGGAGAAATTGCCACTCTGTAGTGGCGACGATTGGTGAGTGCAAAGGAGATGAGGTCGAGATCAGACAGGCACGGCTGTTTGATGATGTCGAGGAGGAGCTCCTCTGGTATGTGACCGAGGTGGTTCCCAGGAACCAAAGCCACCTCCATGGTGGAATGAAGGTGATGTTTGTCTCAAGTTTCGTTTGCCAACATTGGAATGGTGGAAGGGGACTTTCTAAGTTTGGCGGCGAGGAAGGGACAGGTTAGGACCAGTGGACAAAGGGTGGAGGTAATGTCTTTGGCTAGCTGGAGGTTCTGCTTTGAGTTGTGGTGCTGTGAATGAAGGGTCAAGACAAGAACAGAGCTTGGCCAGTGGATCTGGGTGGTGTTGTCTGGAGACTTTGGGCATTGAAGGCGAGCCCTGCAATTGCCAGTGACAGTAGCTTGGTCACCTTGGTCACCTTGGTACCGACCTGGGTGCTAAGGTCAAGGAAGCAAACGGAGCAAACGTCCTAGAGCTTGCTCTGAAGGGGCGCTAGTCTGCGTAGACGGGCTCAAATGAATGCCCTACCAGCTAGAACCTTCCCAGGTGGATTGCCTCGGCCGCTTTATTTGAAGTCGACTTGGACTTTCAGCACTGGCAGCCATCTCGACAAGGTTGAGGTGGTTACTTTCACCTCTGCTTTGAGTACCTAGGTATTGGAGTACCCTGGTATTGCAACTGCTTTCATATTGCTCTGTGGCTATTTATCAACCCTTCAACTGCATCAAAACTCATTCAAATGCCACAAGTTTTGTCGGGTAAACAGCTATCTAGATGTTCGGATTGGCATCCATAACTGTCTAAGGGAATGGCGGTGACAATGGGGCAGCTCAAGATAAACGGTATTGCCCTAGTTAAGTACCAGAACAGGCCAATTGCCTGAGATTGCACTCAATGATCCGAAAACAACTCTGAACTCTTAAAAACTGCACATACATGAACTGTTCAACTGGAATCTGACACCAAACTTAAAGCATGGCAGACTGTGGCCGCTCGTAGTGCGCTTTCTTGATACAGGCAGTGACACTGCCATGATCATCTGAACGGCTGCACGGCACCTCTTGACAGCGAGAAATTAAAACTGATCACATGCGCAGGCAAACAGTCCAAGTATTTTGATGTTCGTGTAATTCATTCGTCTCGTTGTATATACATTTAATTACCCCAGGTGGCATCTCCAACATGCCATAACATGGGGGTTTGATAGCGGCAGAAGCCAAGCCTGGTCAAGTCCCTGGGCCTGAACCTCGTGCACATTTAAATATCTTTCCTCCTTTGCCCACTCTATGACAGCGGGCTACATGTGAAAGCGCCTCGTACAGTTCCCTCGTGGTATTGGTCGATCTAGAGGTCGAGAGTCAGCACCTGGTGCCTCAAATCAGGTAATGCAGAAAGGATGGGACAACTTACAATATCCTGAACACTGGCGTAGGTACCGGCAACCAGAATAACCATACCCATAATGAAAATGATGCCGTTGGTGATAGCCAGCAGCAGGTTCTCCTTGCTGTACCACTTGCCCTTCTTGATGAGCTTGAACCACATCCAGGCGGGGAAGTAAAAGGTGAAGCCGCTGATGAACAGGCACGAGGAGATGGAGAGCAGGTCGCTGAAGAAGGGGATGGCCTCGGCGATGATCCATGCGATGAGGGTGATGACGGCGATCAGAACGGACCATGTGATCCAGCCCATCTTGGTGTTGATGAAGCGGATCACCGAGTCCTTGTACATACGCGCGTGGATGTACCGCCCGGCCGTGGTGCCGTTGATCGAGCCCGAGATGAAGATGACGGGAAGGGCGACGCCGAAGGCCACCTTGGAGAGCAGGGTACCGGCGGACAGCAGAGCGGGAGACTTGACGTCCTGGCCGACAAAGACGTAGATCAGGGCGCCCGTGACGGTGTAGATGATCATCTCGATCATGCCCAGCCACCAGATGGACTTGACAAAGTCCTTGGGGGTGTGCATTTCGTCCATGAAGGAGAACTGGCAGACTGCGAAGGAGTAGGCAAAGATGATGTTGCCCAGCGCGATGAAAGCCTCGACGAAGGTCAGCCCCTCCTTGGGCCACGCGGACCAGTCTGACGCGGGGATCAGGCCCTGGCTCTGCTGAACACCCGTTCCGATGATCGTGATACCGATGGCGAGGATGATGGACACGAAATCGACGTACCCCAGGATGGCGACCTCGGCGAAAGACGGGGGCAGGGCCAGGAGGAACAGGATGATAGCAGACACGATACCGAAGACGAGGGAGCACGCGCCGTTCTCGGTGATATTGCCAAAGGCGATGGCACCCGTCAGACTGTGCGAACCGACCAGGAAGATGAGCTGGAGCGCGAACATGACACCGACGAGCTCGTAGCCGAACTTGCCCATGAGCAGCTGGCCGGCATCGGCGTAGTGCGTGACGTGCGGGAACGCGATCTTGACCTGACCGACGACGTAGGAGGTGTAGATGGCGACGAAACCGAGACCGACACAGAGGATGACACCGGCGACCATGCCCAGGGTGGCGAAGGCGTTGGGGATAGACAGCGAGCCAAGAGCGATGGCCTCGACAATGAGCACGATGGTCAGGCGTTTCCAGCCCAGCCGGTTGAACTTTGCGTGGCCCTCGGCGGCCTTGCGCTTCTCAATATCATTCCAGTCCGTCACCTCGCCGACCTCTGTCTGCCCGAACATGCCTGAGCCTGAGCCTTGTTGGCTCGCACTGGCGCTGATGGTCTTCTCGGCCTTCTTGTCGGTGGAGCCCGCTTCTTGGGCGGCCGTGATGTTGTAGTCGGCCATATTGGTAAGAAATGTGGGGTGAGTCTTCCGGAATGGTCGTCGACTGCTTGTGGGGCGGGTGGCCGGATGTGGGTGGTGATTAGGACTTTTACAGCTTGTGTAGTTGATGCACAGCTGGGTTAGTCGGCCAGAATAAGACACACACGAGACCTAGTTGACCAAGGTAAGAAGGAATTCGCGGATCGGGTCAGGTCTTGGTCGTGTGAAGCCGAACCACCGAGGCTGATTTTTCAAGTGGCCACGGGGAAAGGACTGGGATGACGTCCTTTTGTCGGCGTTGAAGCTCCGGACCGGACTTTGAAGGCGGTAAGGACTGGCCTCGTGGGTGAGTCTTGCCAAAGTGACAGAGATGGAAAGGAAAGGGAGAATAGCGGTGGCAAAAGCACTCGTGGGATCAAGCAGGACTAAATATGAAGTGAGGGTCCAGCCTTATCTCTCATGGGAGGGGACCGAGTCGACCGATCGACGGTTAGGACCCGAGGTTGGATATCAACGTACAACGAACTCGTCAGCGTTGATCCGCCTCTCTTGCCCCGGTCCTGTCCCATCCGGGCCTGGCCTGGCCTGCCATGCCATGACCCGGTCGCGCTTGCTTGCTTGCTGGCTGGCTGGCTGGCTTGCTTGACAGGGCATGGCTGGGCCGGACTGAACCGGTCCTCCAGGGAACAGAATTCTGGAGTAGGGCCGCATGTACATGCCTAGGTAGTGTACAGTCTCTATGGATATATCCGAGGCCAGGGTCACCGGAGAAAACCACATGACCTCGCAGCCCTCGCAGCAACATCCATACCGTGCCACCGTGTGTGCTGGCGCTACCACTTTGACAGGCCGGCAATACTTCAAAGTAGCGCGTAGCGTGTTTTGGGGCAAAAAAGCCGACAAGCGAAGAGACGCCGAGGCGCAACCGACTCGTGCTGCTGCACAGCAGGGCGAACGAGCGGTCCTAGCCCAACTGCAACCCAGATGGGGTCAGCAGGCATGGATGACGCACATGGCGAGAGACGATCCCGCCCCTCGGTGATTTTGGTGAGGGAAGGCCACTGCTGGGGCGTGTGGTCTCGCCATTCTGGACATTCTGGCCATTCTGGACCCTTGAAACCCACAACAGTGCCCTGTACTACATAGTAGAAGGATGTCCTAGAGCCTACAGGAGTGTGGGTGGTTGTCGGTGGTTGTCCCAGAGCAGAGGACAAGGACCAGGAACAGCCCCGCGTGGGGGAGATAAGCACGGATTTGGTACCAAAACTTTAGATCTAAGATCTTGTCAGAGCAACCTGGCTTTGGGATAATGCAAGGGCACGAGCCAGTCGCATTGTGAGAGTCGCAACGGCCGTGCTGCCGTGCGAGAGTCGTGCGAGGGAGCAGGTTGGTTTGTCAGTTGGCTGTGCCGGTGTTTCCCGCGCTGCAACGGCCAGAATCTGGTGATTTAGTCAGGTACCAGCAGGTCAATTTTCGGGGCATGCGGTGGATATTCGCTCGTAACACTGTGGGCCGGAAGCAAAACTTTATGAAAGAGTTAGCTGACGGGTACAGGGGCGTCAGTGTGACGTCTCGCGCTCATGCGGCTCTGCGGTGAGAAACTTGGCACCGCGAGTCATTTGGTGTGTAATGGGAAACCGGAAATAAAATCGGCGCCATTTTGGAGATGAAAGCCTCCCGTAATAGAATCCACCCTTGGCCTGACCTACCCGCAGAGCCCCTGCAAGCGAGGCTTGTTCCTGAAGTACCGACCCACCCACCCGACTCCCCTTTCCATCATGATCTTCACGCGGATTTTCATTGCGCAACGAGACAGCCCAAGAACTTGTCCCGTGTTCGTCCGAACTGGCGACGGCGAGACGGTTCCTGAATCCTGTCCTCATCTCCAAGCAGGTGCAGAGATCTGGCCCTGACTCGGCCCGTTTTCATTTTCCATATTTTGAGTTTGTTCCACAGATAACAAGTTGGCAGGGCCCTCATCCAACCAGAGCAGACCAGAGTGTCAGTCGCCTCAGGCATCTGCGAGTCCAGGGATGGGGCCGCCGGGCAATCCGAGTGTGCTCAACCATCGCGCCGGCGCCAGTTCGGCAGGTTAATGCGGGTGACCAAGGTCACATCGTATGGCTTGAACCCAGTGCAAATTTCCGTGGCTGTTCCTTCCCTATGCGGCCACCGAGATGGCACATACCACGGTTCACGCCTGTCGGCAAGGAACATCCAGACATGCTCTTCGCTCCCCAGTGGCGTGCCTGCGTCTCGACCAAGCTTTCAACGGCTGAGTGGCTGAGAGCTTGTCTTGCTTGTCAGCTTGTGTGCCTGGGCGCAGGTGGGCGGGTCTTATTATTAGCGGTGCTGATCACCAGATTCACCACTGCAGCCACTGGCATGGATCCACGCTGAATAAGCACTCCATCCGCAGCATTCCACCTTGTTAGTCAACACACCCACAGCATCGTGACCCCAGCATCGGATGCTGGGGTCACGATGCTGGTGTTCAATCGTCCCTCGGCTTTGGCGTGCTTGGTCCAATGGGTATCCAGGCGGCACGAGGTTTCGTGCCTAGCCGAAATCTTGGGGTCCAACTCATCAAAAGGACCCGTAGTCCCCATGGGGTAGATTAATACCGTCGGCAGGGCCCGCCCACTTGCCTCATCCGAGTTCAATGCCCGGACCGAGCGCCCGTGAGCATCCATTGTTTACCCAACTATTACGAGATAGCTGGGCAAGAACGGGCACGAGGTCACCATCTGTTGAGCTTCAACTTCGCCCACTTCGCGTTGGGCCTGCTGTCCGATCGTACATGATTTCCTATTTGTATCAATTCTAATCACGCGCGGTGTGCGGTGGCGACTTTCTAATGGTATCGTGCTGACTGATGGGATTCTAGAACAAGAGTTGCGCTTAATTCCCGTGCATCATCACGTACTGCGTGAACGCATCTGTGAAAAGCATCCGCCCCTTTCCCGCGAGTTCGATGATCACTAGTCATCATCCCCGAAATCCTCGGCGTCGTACTGCTCCCCCTCTTCGTTCTCGTTGCCCTGGTCGTCGCCAAGGTCATAATCATCCTCGTCGCTGTCCATGTCAGAGAGCTCGGCACTGCCAGTACGACTGGTCGGCTGACTCGCGATTTCACTGCCAATCAGTGACCCTGGGCCCTTTCGGTCCATGTTGGTGAGGGCAGCATAGTTGATCTTGGTCGAGATCCCGCGCCGGTTGGCCGTTTCCTGGGCGGCCTCCTCAGCCGAGCTCGCCGGTGTGGCTTGGCCCTCTCCGATACGTGGCTTGCGCGTTGTGGGCTTGCGCGGCTTCTTGACTGGCGCCATCTTCTTCTTGAACTCCTTCTCCTGCTGGAGGCGCAGCCAGTCCTTATTCTCGTTGAGCCACAGCTGCTCCTTGATCTTGCGCTCCTCCTCGTTGAGCAAACAGTTGAGCACTTCCGGGTCGTCAGCAAACTCATCCTCCGTGACTTGAGGCGCGTCAATCAGTTGGTTTTGTTGATAGTTGGCTGGTCGCAGGTTTTGAAGCTCATCCATCAGCGCTTGGGTGCGCTGGCCAGCCTCGCTCAGTGCAGCTGCCCAGACCTTGGAGGTGGTGTCCCTGATGTTGCTGAGCATTTCTTCGGCCATCCTGTTCTCATCCTCGGTCCACTCCTCATTCTCGTCGAACAGGGCAGGGTTGCGCAGCGAGCTTCCTTGCAAGCGGTTTCGGTGACTCTTCGCGCCTGGAGCCAAGGTTGCATTCTGCGTCCCTGAGGATCCTGGGTCACCATCTCCAGTGCTCATTCCTGGTAGAGGAACATCTCCGTACTTGGATGCAAGCGCGTCCACTTCATCCTGCTCGTCTGTAGGCACGGCCTCACTGATGTCATCTTCAGTCACGCGTTCTCTGCCTTCACCGGAGGGGCTGGCAGGTTGTCGTTGAGGTAGTGCAGGAATTGCAAATCCATCCGCATCAGTCCTCGGCTGTTCCGATGGCGTGGCGTCGCCCCGAGACGTGGTATCAGAATCTGGCTGGCCGTCCTCGCGGGTTCTCTTGTCGGGCTGAATGGGCTCGCCGGTCTCCGGGTCAATAACGGGCCGCTTCCTCTTCCGGCCAGGCTTGTTCCTCTTTTTCTCCATCTCCTCCTGGTATTCCTTGGTTTGGCGGTAGAAGGCGGGAGGATCATGTGACTTCTGCTCGCCGGGGAATTCCCCCTTCATAAAGTCACTGATTCGCATCTGTGCGGCCTCGAGCCGGGCGAACTCGTCCAGACGGAGCTTCAGGGTAGCTGTGGTGACCTTGGCGACGAAGGACACCTCGAGCGGGGTGCGACGATAGTTGTGCATCCTGGCGGCGAGGATAAGGGCGGAGCCACAAATTCCCGCAGGCTTACGGCCAAGCATCATCCAGTCGCGATCCATTCGCTGAATGATGCGCACGGCAGCGGTCTGGATTTTGTCGGTGTCGTTGTAGAACTCGAGGCGGCTGGCAAGTCGCCGGATGATGTCCTCGGGAACCATGGGCTCAAAGGGGTAATTGGCCTCGTCGCCGCCGTAGAGCATAGTGAGCATCTTCTTGAATGTGCGGCCGAGGAGAAATACGTCCTGCTTGACGACATCGGCGATGTCGATGAGCATGACCGGGGTGTTGCGTTCTTTGCGGATGGCCCAATACACGCAGACACAAGCAACCCTGCTGACACTCCGTCCCTGGCAGAAGTTTCGACCGAGGACTTCCTTGAATTTGTTAAATGCAAGGTGATGAAGGTGGCCTTCAACCTGGCCCAGCTCCAGGCGGTGCAGCAGAGCAGTTATCTGGTCCCTTCCCTCGAGAATTGATTTGATGCGGTTCTCGCCGTCACCACCACCTGCGGCACGGCGAGGCCCAAAGCCGGGGCCACCCAAGCGAGGGCCTGCCTGATCATGGCCGACGGTGACACCGAAAGCAATCGCCTGGCCGTTTGAAGCCTCACCGAACTGGACATCGGCGACGATATTGCTGTCATCAACGACAGCACCACAAGACTGACAAGTTCCGTCGACGAGGTTGGGGGCCGAACACTTTGGGTTGGGACACTGGGAGCGGGGATTGACGGGAGGCGGGGAGCCAGCCAAGGAAGAGGCCCTGCTGGCATTGTACTCGGCAATCTGCTTGCGACGGTGGTCTCGATCGTTGATTGCTCGAGCAGGGTTGGGACGCGAGGCCTTGGGTTTTGCCGCCGGCGCCTTGCGTGGGTCCTTGACCATGGACGACATGGCTGGCAGACGGCAGACGGCAGACGGCAGATAGTGGATATTAGAGAGTGCTCTGTTGGGCTCCTTGAATACAGGTGGTGATTATCCTGGTTGCCCCGTTGAACGCATGTGAGAGGAACAGATGCTGAGAAGGGATGTGCGCAGTGCGAGGCGCGGCACAGCGAGGCGAGGCGAGAACTGCTGAGTCACCCCGTTCAGGGACGACGGCGAGCTCTGGTCCGACTGCAATCTACCCTGCCGTGCTCTTCAGGGCAGGGCGATGAAAGGAGAGGGATGACAAGTATTGAAGGGGGTTGCAGAGAAAGGGTGTGATGCCATTGGGCGACGGGTGTTGATGGTGGAGGATGCTCCCGACGCGAGTTGGGTTGCGTCTGCGACAACTTGCGAGTGCGTGTTTCCAACTTTGTCGTCTGGTCCAGTGGGAAATTTCAGCGTGCACAATGCGGAAAATTCAAAGACAGCATGAGCGAGTGCGGGGCTGAGCGCACGGGCCAGTAGCCCTTTCTGTGGTGAGAACTCGCTTAGTCAGGCACTTTTGTTGCTGCCTAGCCCTGCTCAAGGACGGTCGCACGCGCTACAGGCCATAGGTTCGAGCACCGCTTAGTGCCCAAAGATAATTCTAGCTGGTGGTTTTTTTCCTTCCTCGGCCAACCACCACATTTCCACAGCCCATACAACGTACACGGTTGAACTGCCTCACAAACAAATGAGATACGTCCATGTAGTCCCAAAGGCACTGTAATTTAACTTGCTATGTCTGTGGCATCATTTGGTCCCTTACTTTAGTACAAGGCATTTATTACCTAGGTATGCCTTAATTTTGAAGCGTCTTCCTCCCTGCCAACAAGCTGAAGACACTGTCGCCATTATCATCTCCGTGTCAGTGCCATGGGCTGATCACCCGCAGGACCAACCAGTAGGTCCGTACACCCTGCTTATCTTATCAGCCCAAGTGGCCTCTGTACCTAGGTACCTCTCGCAACGAGGTATTACAGCTTCGCTGCTTCCTCCCTACTACTCCTTAGGCACCATAGCTTTAAATCAACAATCCCTTACAGACGATTTGAGCCTCTTTTCCCATCGGTAGTGAGGACCATCTTACTCCGATGCCCCCCCCTTTTTTGGTCACTTGCGCCCATTTTGAGCCGCATAATAACCCGATGAGCGATCCCATTTGCATTCATGTAATCTCATCATATTCCCAAGCTCCATTAGGGCATACTTGCTGGCTGCCTGCAGCCTTCCCTTTTATCAAGAGCGGTTTCATTTCTAGTCCCCATACATGTAAAACATTGTGCCACCCATCGTATTATGCCTATCGTTATCGACATCGTGTCCTCTTCAAGCGCTGGGTCTTGAGCGCTTACCACCGTATGAAGGCGCCATGTATGTCCCCATACGTATACGGAATGGAAGGCGAAACCACCTAAAACATGTGTAGTGCCTTGATATAGTGGTAAAGGCTTAAGACTTAGCATTTAAAAAGTTTAATCCTATGTACAGAGAGAATATAATACATCTATGGGTACTTAAGTACGTGGCCTCAGCCTCATGCCACACAGACAAGGCTAGGAGGCATTGCTCCTGACGGCGCACAAGTAGCTTAAGGGCTGATAGTAGGTAAAGCAGTCCTACGGCGAGACTATAATTGCCAAACATCTGGAACCCAGGTACATTGGAGGGCTGGGGACCTCGGGATGCAGTACCAACCAACCTCTTACCTCATAACTCTGCAAACTTCATGTCTATGTTTTGCAGTTCAGATATACGCGCAGATCCACCGTAGCAATAATGAGGGCAATTATTGAGTGCTCAAGTGTTCCAAGAACTGCCACACCAAACAGACTCCCAGCTCTCCAGCTGAGTCTGGGGGGCTATTGCCTTTCTGGCCAACTTCGAAACCTTGGAAGCGTAAAGTTTAGGATGAAATAACGGGAAGAGTCATGTGGGTAAGTGCCAGGCCTCTAGGGTATGAGTAATGATGTTTCTGTACACCCGCTGTGCATCTCGGAAGCAGTGCCTTGCTAAATTAGGCAACTTCAATTGAAGTCCAGCATTCGGAGGTAAGCACGAGCGACAAGGAATCTCCGATAGCCTTGCCGTCACTGCATATGTATAGCAATCCAATTCCAAGGTTGCTTCCATCTTTCTTGGGTTCGAACGTGTCGGACACTTGAGGAAAAAGGCCAAGTCGAAGCGTGCAGTGCGAGTCGCTAGAAACTCCGAGGTATGGGTGTGCCCGTTTACCTGACCTGTGGCCCCAATGATGGATGCTACCATCTTGTCGTGCAAAGTGAGATGAGTGGGAAATTGTGCAGAATATGCGTAGGTGGTCATCGCTCGTGGTGCACATGCCAGATACAATGGCCTACTCAACATCCAGGCTTCTCTAGAGCTCTTTGGGAAAGTCATTTTCGCACTCAAAAGCCTAGATGCCAACGCCATCTTTAGCATAAAAAGATACGGGATATTAGCTATTAGAGAGGCTACGCATTGTTAGCACTGCGTGAAGATTGGCTGTCCGTCACGACACTGAAGGTTGAGTTTCGTGGATGCAGAACATTCAATGTTCCGGGCTTCGGCAGTTGTCAGCCGTGAAGCTTTTCAAGGTTGAGTGAAAACAGAATCTAAACATCGACGAACACCTTTCACCCTTGAAACAGGCGGCGCACGTCTATTGACGCTTGGTTGCACTTGGGCATGAACGCAGTGATAACCTTGAAAACTTGAAAGTCAATCCTGGGGTCACCACCGTCCCTCCGGATCTGCTTGGCAGCCTCGGCAAGAGCCGATGTTCGAGGCCCACTTTTACAGTCAGCTTCTGCTTGAAGATCACTGAGGGACCCCAATTCCTGCCGATGGTTCAGCCCGGCTTAAACTCTAATGGACAACAGAGTTACATTCACCAGCAGCCTCGCTGATCTGAGGCAGCACGGGTTTCGCAGAGTGGGTCTAGATCACGTTGAGACCTTTGCAGCCTGATCGCTGCTTCGAGCACGCAAGCGTGATCGCTGATGAGAACCAAACGACTTATCTCTTGGAATGAACCACACGGATCATCAAACGATTGGAGCTAGTGCCGGTGAGCTGGGGACCAATGATGGCTGTACGTAGACATAGACCCCTATTTTGCATCATCATCCATGGCAACCTTGGAAACTTCAAGTGTTATCCTCCTACCTACCTAGGTAGATAGTGGACCCAGCCCTTGCTCACATAAGAAGGCACAGATAAACATGGAATTTCAAATCGCGACACCGAATACTAGGCCGACACTAATGGCAATCGTCCGGACCATGTATGGATTTCATGCCGCAAGCCTTTATATTACAATATCACAGCACTTCTCTTAGCTGACCGGCATTGGCCAGTAATAACAAGTGTTCAAATCCGCAGGCTCTGTTGATGTTGCACTCGGAAATTTAGCAGGGACTGGGCCACTAAAGATGTCAATCTTCGGTTCAAAAAGCTTGAATATTCTCCGGTGAGCTGAACAGGGAGCTGGAGTGAGGCTATCTTGGGTTTCGTTCCAGATACGGAATACCTCGGTGTGGGTGTGGGTGCGTGCGTGCCAAACTTCAGCTCAGACAAGCGACCTGTGGTGCACGACACTGACACCACAGCACTGCAACGTCTGGGCCCGAAGTATCTGCAGCCAAGGAGGGTCAGGTCGACCTTCCATTGAGGTCACAGACGTCTCGCATGACGACGCAGCATCGCAGATTGATCGATGGGCGGCACCTTGGTGTGGTTTCATCCCTTTCCCGCAGTAGGAATGTGACTAATCTGGCTTTCGTGCAGGAAAGCTACGCTGCCCCCTGCATCGGATGATGAACGGATCAGATCATGTCGAGAGCTCAGACGGATTCCCAAGGGACGTTGACGCGCGTTGGCATGTAACGAACCTTGGAACCTCCCATTTAAGCATCCGCGGCTCGACGTCTTCTTGGCCGGGTTGGCTTTCTGGGGGGTCCAGCAACCGTTTGATTTTCGTCTAGGTAATCTTTTAAGAGCGTGGGGATGCGTACAGAAGATCTATACTCAAGTGTTATAAACCAAGGGACAGTATCACTATGTCGCCCAAAGTCCGGATACAAGGCCTCTCATCATCCGGCTCCATTCTTTTCGAAAAAAATCAGCCCCGCAACAACTACATCAACAACATGTCCATTCCGAGAGCCCATATAGAGATGCACCGGGCGGGTGATGACGGGAACGGGAACACACCACTCATAGTCAGGCAGCCCGTGATGCTCGAGCCGACCGAGCTCCGCCTGGGGGGCCAGAGGCCAAACAACGTCTTTGCGGCGCTGAGTGATGCCGGCAGGGGTCATATCGTCGCCATGATCGGAGAATACCTCGGTACGACCATGTTTCTCTTCATCGGATACATAGCCGCGCAGACGGCGAATGAGAAGAAAGACATCACCCTCCGTGCAAACATTGGTGAGGCTGGCGCGCCTGCCGGACCCAGCCTGCTGCAGATATCATATATATCCTCTGTGTTTGGGCTGAGTCTTGCCACCAATGTTTGGATTTGGTACAGAGTCAGCGGGGGCATGTTCAACCCCTCGGTTAGTAAATACATGCATGGAGCAGTGTCGAGATTTCTTCCAGTCTCTAATGGCGAAGTCCAGATCGCATTCGGCCTATGGTTATCAGGTGCCTTCAACTGGGTTCGCCTCCTCTGTGTCATCCCTGCCCAGCTGCTGGGAGGAATCACGGCGGCCGCCCTGGTATCTGGAATCCTACCTGGTCCGCTTCAAGCTGAGAATTCTGTAGGCGAGGGTGTGAGCACAGGCGGAGGCTTCTTGATGGAGGTGCTTCTGACCGCCGAGCTGATGGTGACCATCCTGATGCTTGCGGTGGAAAAGAGCCGCACAACTTTTCTTGCGCCCCTTGCGATAGGCATTTCTCTCACCGTCATCCACCTCGTGGGTAAGTACTTCACGATGGCCCTGAGACCTTGATTGGGGAATTGGCGAGACTGACGACTCCGAAACTTGTAGGCATAAATGTCAGCGGTGCTTCGGTCAACCCGGCGCGCAGTCTAGGTCCCGCAGTGATCAACAACCACTTCGTACCAGAGTTTTGGATCTACTTCGTTGGCCCAACCCTCGGCGCAGCGATTTCAGCAGGTATCCGTCACCTGCTCAAATTACTAGCTTATCAGACAGCCAATCCGGGCCAGGACGGCGATGGCATTGAATACTTCCGCGTGGTGGCTTCGTCGTCACAAGGATCAGGATATACGGCACCCGCTTGGCGCCACAAGCCAAGGGCCTCAGAGGACAGGGAGCTCCTCCTTCACGATATGGTGAAGCAAAGGGAGGTCACCCATGACTTCCCCTGAATAAATAGTGGCAATTGCTGGTTTCGAAGGAAGTAAATGTATCTACTGGCATATCGTAAGAAGATCCGGCAGCACATATGTGAAAGAGAAGTAGAATTGCATACAGAACTTGAATCTACTCGCCACGTTGCGAGATCGTCGGGCCGCCACCTCGAGTGGCAAATAGAATTTGATCAAGATTGGGGCCAAGAAGTTGGGTATTTGTCCTAGTGATCACTCAGACAATGCTTTTAAATCTACGATAATACAGGGGTGGTTTCGTTTTCAATCCCCATACATATAAAATGTACGTGGCGCCTTCATACAGTGGTAAACGCTCAAGACCCAGCGTCTAAAGAAATACAGTGCCAATAACAGTGGAAAGAGAATACAGTACCTACGATAATACAATTATATGGCGTATTTCAAAGAATTTCGGAACGTAATTTCAGAGCTCCTGTAGCTTATTTATCTTACAATTTGTAGGGTGCTAGGACTTGGAGCGGCTTTGGCCAAGATGGATACATACCTAGGTACGTAATATTTGTTACGCAGCGGGCACTATTCTTGACCTGCAGGCGAGGTCTAACGTGGGGAATAGTTTGGAGAATATGCTTGCCGAATAGAGAAACAATGCAACTTATGAGTTTTCCATTGGTATTTGTATTGAGTGGCATCAATGATGTGGAAGTGTCACCAACTCCGACCTGGCCAACATCTTGTAGACCACGCTAGAAAAGGGTGAACGTAGCACTGTTCCTAATCAGGGAATTGGGAGTTGTTCCCGTTTGGGAATCTGGGACTTGTTCCTATTTCGGATCCCGGGCATCTAGTGGGCCTGACTCTAGCTTGAATCCATTTTGCATGCAGCGTGCGTACGAGGCGCTCGGCGTAAACATCTAGGCTAGATGTAAGCTGTTGTTGCAGGGAAGAAAAACCTGGGTACACGTGTAGATCGCCGTGCAAAGGATCAAGCACTTATTTGAGATCCACAGCACTTGAGCTTGGCATGACTGATGCGGCCACATCAATCGCGCCGCACCAAGGCCGGTTGTGAGCACAGCAGCATCCAGTCACTTATTACCCCGCCGTTTAGATCGTGACCCTCAGAGTGCACATGTGCCGTTGCCACGACTACAAAAGGACACCACCACCACTCCCAAACATAAGCTAAACCCTTGCTTTCATTGTCGCGGCAGCACAGGCAGACCGCAAACCGCCCAGGTAACCGATTCTTGTTGTCAGCTACACAATGTCTTCTTTCAAGATCACAGCATCTCCCAACACAGACATCTGGCGGAAGCCACCTTCCACGGACGTCTTCAACGGTGAGTCTGGCACCTCTCACCAGCACAGCTCGAAACAGCCCGGACTGACATGTGCCCAGCCCCCCGAGGCGCCGCCGCCGATGCCAAGACCACAGCGCCGCTGTCGTCCTTCAAGTCGGCCCGCGTGTCGTTCCTCCTCCACCCCAAGGAGCAGTACGACCAGGCCGGGCTGGTGCTGTCCCTCAAGTCCCCTGGCGCCGCCGGCCCCTTGCCCGCCGACTCCCCTCCCAAGTGGCTCAAGACTGGCGTCGAGTACTACAACGGCGTGCCCAAGGCGGCGACCGTTGCCTGCGACTCTTGGGCTGACTGGAGCCTGTCGGATGTCAAGGGCAAAGAGGGCGACTGGGTCACGGTTCATGTGGAGAACGGGACAGACGTCCTGGGGAAGAGCTTGTGGATCTACCAGGTCGTCAACGGGGAGAAGATCCCCATGAGGGAGGTGTGCTGGGTCTTTGGCCTCGGTGACCCAGGCAAATGGGAGCTCAGCGTCGAGGCTTATGCTTGTCGGCCGGCAAAAGACGCTGCTGACCTTGTGGTGGAGTTCAAGGATTTCGATGTGCAGTGGGTCTAGACTTTGATGGTCTCCATACATTTGTACGATGGCACAACTTGGAGGGAGAAGATCGAGAGCACGTCGCGATATGGAACCAGGTTGAATCAGCCTCAAACATCTTAAGATGTACGAGTGCATGGAGAATGAATCCAAGGGTCATGATCAATACTGTGTTCGATAGGGTACCCTAGCAGCAAGCTTGTTAGTCCTGTGCGCTGTTTCTTGTGTTGCTGGGCCAGTTACACGCTGAAAACGTACACCTCGGCAGCTACACCTCAGGATTTTCGTCCACTGGGCCAAAACATCATCATTCTTGCGTTCAAAAATTGTGGAATGGCTTGAGGGGATTTGATTGCTAATCTCATTGCTAGTATTGCATTCGTGTCTGCCGGCTTTCGACTCCCAAGAAGCCTTTAGAGCTCACCACGCCACTCCCATTCCCCGCTGATTATGAGTGCTTAAACTAAGGGCCGATCGACCCACGAGTTTCGCTTTAAGGGAATCCTTGATTAGCTCGTAGCCCATGACCTCAAGTTCTTCCAAGCTGGATCCCTCCTGGTTTAAGGGTCCCATAATTACCGAACGGTGCACATTGTTTCCCGAGCGGTGCTGAGGCTACTGGCTCGAGGTGGAACAATGGGACCAACGTATCATGCACAGCAGAAAGGAGGCCATGAGACAAGTTTTGGAGGTGGCCGAATCTCCCATTACCAAGGCCCCCAAAAGGGGCGCGTTGCTATCTACTTAAGCAGAGCCAAAGGCGCGAGCGCAGTGAAGGCTCGAAGTAGAGTACATAGACATCATACAGTACAGATAAGGAATGTGTGGTATCAAATCATCAAAACTTCGTCAGTCGTGCTCAAAAAACCGAGTTTCAAACAGGGTGAGTGACGCAACCCAGGGCTCTGACAAATGAAAGAAAGGAACAACGCGCGGACGGGTTTAAACACCAAATGCAGGCCACACACGGCGGTTGATCGAGGGGTGTTGAGAATCGAAGAAAAAAGAATTTCGCTGCTCCATCAAGTTCATCTCTTTTTTGCATAACAACCCATTTCCCTCCCTCCCTTTCACTCGACTTCCTCCTCCCCATTCAATTAGCCCTCCAGCTTCCTCCCCTGATCATTTGACAAAGGAAAAGTATTCAAGGCCTGGTCGAAGGTCGTCGTTGGTTAACAATTTGGTGTTGGTCGCTTTAATTATGAGATGCGATGTCGGCAGACGGAAGAGACAGTCTGGTTACGACGGACAGTGAGCCCGGGCTGGCCGGGCTTGTGCTGCCTGTTCGTACCGATGTAAAAGCATTCTGGATGATTTGTCGTGTTTCGTCTCCTTTCCGGCCGCCGTTCTGGAAGAAGCAGGGGTCTCTCTTTTCTCCACGTTGACAGTCTAGTTAAAGAGTCCACATGAAAAAGGAAAAGAAATAAAAGAACCCGCGGTAACATTCCGAACATGAAATGGCAAAACCAAGAAAAATCATTGAGCTGAGAGATAAACAATGCGCGTGGCACAAACTCCAGGTGTGTGTGGTGGTGTGTATAAGATGGATCGGAGAGGGTATCTGTTTCTCGCCCGTGTGAAGGGCGGCAAACTGCACGTGTAAAGGAAAGAAATTCACAGAAATTCAAAACAACGCTCGCTTTGGACTTCCTCTAAACGCCGGCTCGCCATGCGTAGGAGAGAAAAATCAGAACCCGATCCCAAGATCCAATTGTTCCAAAGAAATGACAGCGCTTGACGAAAACACACGCAAAGGCATCAACAATCGTGAGCCAGGGGGAGAGTGAATGCAGAAGGTCAGACGGGCCCACTCGGGGTAGGTCTTCTTGTGGGATCCCGCAATGTCTTGGTCCGAAGATGTGTCGTCCCGATCTTCTCCCGGGCAGGATGGCATCAATGGGAGCGAGCCCTGTCCTCCTTCCCCATGCTCTCCCCTTGGCGAAAAGTCAAAGTCAAAAAGTTCTGGTGAGATTCGGCCAACCTCCTTAAAGAAGTGAAGAAGCAAGAAACAAATCTAGCATTCTCCCAAATGGCCGCGTGTACCAAAACCTCGACGTGAGTTTCCGGCCATGGGGGAGGATGAAAAGCAGAGAACGCCCCTGGAAATGCCAGACCAGGTCAACAATCGTGGAGTAGAGTCAGAGCGGGTTCCCAAACTGATAAGAAAACCAGGTTGTACCCAAGCGTGTACGGCCTATCCGTCCCTCGACAGCAGACTCCCTCCATAGCTGCGGATTAGAGGAACCTCGGCATGGGGTGTGTGTATCGATCTCTTGTCTTTAGTAGTGGAAACGCCGACGGAACGCCCGTAAGAAGAAATTGGGAAGCGGATCCACCTGCTCATCGCGCGGTCTTCGTGTGTCGACCCGGACGAGCCTCACAGACTTCTCCTCAGGAACCCCGTTCCTGCTCCTCGTGAGAGGAGTGAGGGTAGTCCCTTCAGATAGTGCGCGGCGTGCCCTTGTTCCCCGCCTCGATGACGTCGTCGAGGTGGTTGCACAGCGCGACAAACAGGTCAAAGTACAGTTTGCTGCCCTCTCCTCCCTTCTCCATCTCGGCCTGCATGGTGCCCGACCTCTTGAAGGTCTTGCGGCACCGGATGATCAGTGCCAGGTAGTGGGCGCGCAGGCGGCTGTCCGAGTCCGGGGTGTGGGCGTAGCAGTACTGGGCCGAGCGCAGGATCGTGCCCACGTCGATTCCAGACTGCAGGCCCTGCTTCCGCAGCGCCAGCCGCTTCAGCTCCTCCAGCCCGTACCGCTCAGCCGCGCAGTAGACCACCGTGTCCCGGAGGAGGTGGTGGCCGACTGACGGCAGGAAGACGGTAGCCTCAACAGCCGCGGGTTGACGGGGTGACGATGCTGCGCGGCCACCTCCGTAGGTGTTTTCTGAGTTGATTCGGGGGGATGCATTTGGCGTGCCCCCTCGGCGCGCGGGAACGCTGTCCTCGAGCTCCCAAGAGTTGCGGTGCTTGTTGTGCAGCAACCGCGGATAGTAGTCGCCCTTGTAGAGGTACTCGAGGACCGCCGAGAAAACCTCCGGCTCCTCGTCCGGGAGCGCGATTCTCCTGGACTGCGCGTACGACTGCTCGAGGTATCCACCCCTCAGGGCCTGCTCGAAGAACGGGCTCTGAAGGAGGACGTCCTCGTGGGCCGCAAAGAGTCGCCCCTCCATGCCGATGGTCAGGGTGACGATCGGCGATGGCGCGAGGTTTGCCATGGAGGCATCTTGTGTCCTGCCCGACTCGGCCTTGATTCGTGAAGCCGACCCGGAGGCCTCGCGTTCGGTAAGCGATCGCTGCAGTTTCGACAGCTTGGTAGGATCCCGCACGGAACCCGCATTCGTGCCCTTCCTGGCCAGCCTCGCCGACTTGTCCACACGATGCTGGGAATCCATGGCCGCACCAGCTTGCTGGGCGTTGGAGTTGGATCTCAGTCGCTTGAACATCGTGGTGGATGTGATGACGTAGTAACGGTCGTCGGCGGGTTTTTTGACCTTGACTCTTCGACGGCGGAGCCCCAACTTTCGTTCGTGTTGTTGCTTCGCCTGTTCAGGCTTCTCCGGAAAGCTGACTTGTGAAGAGCACGCGGACTCGAGGCGTACGGGACGTCGGAAAGACAAAAACGAACAGAGCGAGGAAACCACTTTTGCGGATCTCACGATGTTGCTGCCTTATCCTCGGGGTGTGTTGGTACCAAGAGAGTGACGAGACGAACGAAAACCAGATAAGAAACTCCCGCGATCGAAAGAACGACGGAACGAGAGCGTGCAAAAAAAACAAACACAAAACGTGACACACAAAAGATTGACAAGAGGGCCCGTGAAGAAATACCACTGGGTGTACGTAACGACCGTCCAGCTCAGTGAATATCCTATAAGCACTTGGCGCCCTGTGTGTTCGTGGTGGGGGGGAGGGAGGAGAAAGAGGAGAAAGGTTCCGAAAGGTATGGGTGGTTGGCTAGGATATTTATGCGACAACGCGGCTTGGTTGCCTGCAAATTGCCTGCAGCCTCTCAGGTCAACCGTCGAATCAATTGGGATCTGGGGGTTTGAGGAACCGGGAGTGGTGCCAAGGTCATTATGCAGTAGTGTAGTGTGGGTGGGTGTTAAAGCTCAAGGAGCTAACTTGTGCCCCGGAAAACAAGGTGGGATCGCCAGAGAGCGTGCCGTCATCAGAACGCAGGGTGGAGTCCCCAGCCTACCCTGCCATCCTTTTTATAGAGTTGGCTCCGGGGTCGTGCCGTCACCGTCACGGCCCAGCCTCAACTTGAGGCCTGCGACGTTGAAGCCCGAGAAGACCCAAGAAGACCCAAGACGACGTGTAAGACGCTTGCACCTAGAGGTGAGGCGACTCTCGATGACTGACGAGCAGGCATCATCGCTCCGGCGTTGGCTGGTGAACGCTCTGGATGACGAGAAGCAGTAACATCAAGTTGGCGTTGCCGTGCATTGGGCTCACGGCACGTGCAGTGAAACGGCGTTACCCCAGGGATGCAGCGTCGAGTATTGTGCGCCTTATGGCTGGGCATGTGAGCTGTATGCCTGCAGAAACGCAGGATAAGAGGTGAAAAGAAGGGCATCGAAGTCGCAAGAAGCTTCTCACACCAGCACTGCGACGAATCGAGTGCCAGAGGTTGGTGGGTTGTGCATTCCAGGATAGCCGCCAGCCCGTTCCGCAGGCCGATGGGCATGAGTTCGGGTGTCAAGTTCGTGCGCAGCTGAATGCGGGTTGGACATGATCGCAGCCCCGTAGGACTTTCCAGAGCAAGGTCGATGCCCAGCGTTGGTCCCTGGTCGCTGAAGCCTTCGATGCGGTCCCTACTACATAGTCTTGTAGGCGCTCGTAGGACTCGAGAGGCCTGGTCCGTTGCAGTACAAGTCATCCGCGGACGATTGGGCAACCATCAAGTTCGCCCCCGCGCGGGTCCAGGTGGTGCCTGAAGAGTTCACTCGAGAGTTCACACAGTCTGACAGTCGTGGTTCTCCCTCAAGTCCCTCTAGCGTATCACCCTCGCATGGGGGCTGTGAATCCTGATTCGGTTTTGGCCTTTTCACAAGCTCGGGCTAAGGGGCACAGGGAAGCCTTGTCTCGGTTCCAAATGGCTGGATTGACGCTTGCACTAGCTTGTTGGGGTGCCACGCTGTCACCGTGGGGCTGGCGGGAGTCCCTGAACGGTACCTGCCAGCCTGCTGGGGCGAGTGGGTGGGTGTGGAGAGTGTCTTGCCCTGTTCACTAGCTGCCGAGAGAGGGAACCCTACTCCTAAGACATTTGGGTGGCTGGAATCCAGGGGTGCCCACACGGTCCTGATGTGCCGCGCGGTGAGCAGCTCTGCGGCGAATGTCCAGCCCCGTCTGGACGAAAGCAACCGAGGCAAGCAAATGCTTCCAAGTGCATCATGCGTGAGGCGCACGTATTCTCAATCTCTATTGTGCAAAGTCTATGAAACATTCTTTAGGTAGGCCTGTGATTAATCAACAACAACCCATTTCGGACACATCATTATTATTACCGTCTTCTCCCTTCTGCCCACCCTGACGACGAAACGTAATGCACCAGCGATCCAGTCTGGTGAGAGCCAAATTCCCTGAGCGCAGGTTGGGCTCGCAGCCCAACCGCGGCCACGGCGTGCCTTCACAGCATTGCGTGCTTGATGGCGAATCATCGAGAATGGGCACGGTCAGAGATGCTCTCGCGCATGCCGACCAGGCCGTAGAGCGTGGCAAAAGCTGTTGGCAGATCAGAAAAGTGCTCACAATGATGCCCAACAATGGTCCCCAAGTCGCATGGACGAGGAAACTCACATGCAGCTGCCAGAGCGACAAAGCCAGTGCAGTATGCTGTCACCTTCTCTTTGCTGCCAACGATGGACTCGTCCAGCCAGAAAAAGGCATTGTCGCCGGTTAGCTTCCCTCCAATTGCCGCATATCCCAGGTACAATGCAGCGGACCCAATACTGGCGAACAGGTGGGTCGGTACAGGCTGCGGTAAAGGTCAGTCATATCGGTAGACAGGGGCACAAGGAGGGCCACCCTTACGTCAGGTCGTCTCATGCTGTTCAGGATCACGGACTCGGCCACGACCTCGAGAGCCGGGAAGACGTAGAGATTGAACAGGATGAACATCGGGAACCAGCCCTTGACCAATTTGAAAGGATTCTTGCTGGGACCATCTTCGAAGAGCATGAAGGCGTCGCCGTCACCATCATCTCCTCCACCATCGCCGCCATCGCCGGGTACTGGCAGGTGAGCATGGCCGCTTGGCGCCTGGATGGTCCAGTACACGATAACATTCATGAGGGCAAAAACGTGGGTGACGACGTGGAACAGGCTGAAATAAATGCGGCCGCGTCCGTCTGCAGTCTGCTCAGGCGGAGACATGAAGCGAAGCAGTCGGGACTCCCAGCGAGTGTCGTTGGCGTCGATGTCGGGCCAGTGCATGTGTGTGATGGTCCACGACTAGTCCTGGCGGTTAACAAGAAGTCCGAGGCAAGTGATGACATGGCCACACTTACAAAGACAAGGACGTGGTACACAATGAGGAAGAACCAGGTGACTGCAGAGAACTGGAAGGGGATACGCCAGTTGGAGTATTCGCTCGGACGATGTTTGATTTCGTAGTCGAGCAGCATGCCAGCTGTTGCGATGAGGTAGGCCACGAGGGCAGCCCGAATATAGCCCAGGGCATTTTGGTTGAGGGGCCTCCATGGCGAATGCGCAACGCGAAGGAAGATGGGCTGAACAAGGTCAGCAGACTATGCCGGTGGCCAGTACCACGCCTTGTGGAAGAGAGGAGAGACGTACATGGTCGCCACCAGAACGCTGGCCTTCCTCGTCCTGCTGGTGGGTGCCGACAAGGTTGCCGACCTGTTGAAGCAAGGGCTGACGCTCCATTGTTCGGCTGCTTGGCTGATAGTCAGGGAAGGAAAAGTACCGGGAGGGCGGGCGGATATCCGGCGACTGAACGTCGGCGCGTTGTCTTTCCAGGATTGTAGGCTGACCCGAGGTCAAATCAATGCTTGCGTGCGAACTGAATAATCTCGGTAGGAGGAATAGTTGCGAGACAGATGCAGGTCAGCAAAGGGAGCGGAAGCAGGCAGAGGATGAAGAGTTCCACGAGAGTCGAAAGCTGCTCGAAGGGGAGATGTAAACAAACCCAAGGCCGACTCGTAGGAAGGAACAGCTCGAGCTGCCCTCAAGCTGTTTCTGCACCTCGGGAAGGAAAGACACGGCGCTGGGAGCAAGTTCCAGGAGGCGCAGTCGCAAAGTCAAAGCTTCCTGTTTCGTGAATGCTCGAATTGTCTCTGACTCCAAGCACACTCGAGATCAAAAGAAAAGGAACGAGAAAGGAGAGGACCAAATGATATCCTGTGGCCCTTGTTTTTCAGTCCGAACCCTCTCAGTGTAAATCCACATCAATAAATACATTGTCGTAGCTCTCAAGCCGTGGAACCAGCGGGACAGAAGCTACTGCGCCTGCCCGGTTCGTGACAATACCGCCTCTCCCGCCTGGCCAGACCGGCAAAGTCTCAGCGTAGGGATTGCTTCCAGAGAGTGTCCATTTTCGTGTCCAGGACAGTCGTCAGCGGCGAGTAAGACCAGCACGTGCCGTCGCTGCATCATTCCACAACGGCAGGAGGCAGCCAGAAAGTGCAGTAACGAGACGGAGGCATTCTCAATTCCCGCACAACACTAATGGCTGCGATAGCAGGTGGACTATGGTAATTGCAGCCTCATCATATATGTATGAATATATGCTAGGTATAGAATGGGTTCAGACCCGACGAGTGCTGTGTATCAAACAATTGTGGAGGACCCCTGCAGGATGTACCGAGGTACACAGCTGCCTGGCAGCCCTGGCAGCCTGGGTACCTGGCTGCGCATCAAGAGATCCACTTGACCCCGGCCCCCCTGCTGCCAAAGTACGTACCCGCCCACTCGGTTTGAGGACAGCTTGTGAAGCTCCCCACAGGCCACCTCTCAACTTTCTTGGGCTGCATGTGCACACACAGTACTGTCATCAGCACCCGAGGCCCTGCCATTTCCGACGACCAACAACCTTCCACTCTAATACTATGCGATAGCACCTCGAGCAGAAACAAAAACACCACATAAAAGAGCATCGCCATGGTTTCCGTGCTCGGGAACCCGCGGCAACTCGCCGCCCAGGTCCTCAACTTCGGTATGACACTGCCGCTTGCAAGCCCGGCCGCGTGCCGCGAGACTGACATGCGCCGGTACCAGGCCTTATTCTCTCGACGGCTTTCATGATGTGGAAAGGGTGCGACGCCGATTTTCTCCCCATATACCTGCGACCACACGCTGACATGACCCTCGTCCAGCCTCTCCGTTGTCACCGACTCGCCCTCTCCCATCGTCGTCGTCCTGTCCGGGTCCATGGAACCGGCGTTCCAGCGCGGTGACCTTTTGTTCCTCTGTATGGATCCCCTCGAATCCTGCAGCAGGTGGTCCTCGAACGGCCTCGCACCGAAATAAAAGGGGTCGTGCAAGGCTAACTGCTTGCTGTTGATAGGGAATCGTAATCTGATCGCAGAGACGGATGTCGGCGAGGTCGTGGTCTACAACGTCAGGGACAAGGAAATCCCCATTGTTCACCGCGTCGTGCGCAAGTTTGGCACAGGGTACGAAGAATCTCGGGAACGCCTTGGGCGCTGGCAACGAGTGTGGCGCTCTAGCTGAGAGACAGTTGGCTAACACGGTTGGCTGCAGAGAGCATGCCCGATTATTGACAAAGGGCGACAACAACCAGGCCGACGACACCGAGCTGTGTAGGACCTTCCCTGTCTTGCGTGGTCGAGACGCGAGCTAACATACGGTACTAGATGCGAAGGACCAGGACTACCTGGAGAGGAAAGACATCATTGGCAGTGTCGGTAAGTCGCGGTCCACTTTTCATCCTTTACGTTTTGTGGTGGCTAACATCGCGTGCAGTGGGCTACATACCATTTGTCGGATACGTGACAATCATGTTATCCGAAAATCCGTGGATGAAGACAGCCATGTTGGGCATAATGGGTCTGATGGTCGTATTACAGCGAGAATAGCCGTGTCCTAGCTGGCTCCGAGCACCTTCGATGATCGAGCCTTCATCCATCTATAAAAGTCGCATTGACCAGCATCATTGGGAATCGAGCCATTGGCGTTCCTTACCAACTATCGATTTTTCTGCGATCTTGACCGCGCCGTTCGGGCAGGTTTCAGGCCTTGATTCCTTAGATTTGACGCACCGCTGACAGCTTGCGTTTGCGTTGAAATTATTTGCGCTCTTGGGCCCTTCACGAGGCCGGTGCTAGCCATGTCTGCCTACCCAATCGGAATCATGGTGGCAATGTCTTCGATTCGGGAGATGGGCCAAAAAGCACGCGTCCAGTGTCCTCACAACTGTCACTACGCCAGGATTTGCTCAACTATGGACATAAACCGGGGATGAGAGGTTTCAATCACGGTTCTTTCTCAATGCAGTAGGTCAGTCGCTGCCTAAGTCAATTTAGATCCTCTGACCGCACCTCGGCCCTCTTGGTGGCGAGGTGGCCTGCCGTGGCCTCTCTCTGTTGGTTACTTGGCCTATCTGAAGGACCTTACGAGACTTCATTGCCAATGACTGGATGTGAAATACAGCAATCGACGCGGTGTCGACCAAACGGCAGAGCTGCGGGACACTGCATCGCGGGGCCAACAAACGAGACATGGTGATCTCATGCGGGAGGCCTACCAAAAGAGACGACACCGCGTCTCTGCATCATTTCCCCTCCGCAAGATTCTATTTAATGTGGTCGTTGGTCCTCGTCCTGGGCCTGGTTTGATCCAGAGCTCGCAAGCATCCCTTGATCACCAACTTGCCTGACTGTCAGTTGACGCTACGTTCGAAGCAAGCTCAAGCAACGCCCCCACCCACACGACTCACCCATCATGCCACGCAGAAGAAGACCAGGGCGCGCCGAGGACAGATACTGCACCTTCCCCTCCCTCCACGAAGACGTCACCGCCCTCCTCCAGGAAGAGGACCTACACTTTGGCTTCCACGACAGGGACGACCCGGCCGACAGCCTCAAGGAGTATGACACCAACATCATGGGCCGCTTCGTCTGCCGCAACGGCGGCTGCCGCAGCAAGGGCTGGTCGAGCAAGAAGATCGCCATCACCATCAGGATGTACCCGGGCGCAGAGTACAACGCGCGCGTGTACAAGCAGCGCTGCCGCGACTGCGACTGTCTAGGGGACCTGCAGCTGGAGCACGGCGGGTCGTACGCGGACAGGGTCGCGTACCGCATCAAGAAGTGGTGCGGTGTGCCTATAGAGCCTCCGCCCTACATGGAGGGCCAGGGCCAGGGACCGCATCGGAGGCACCGGTGCGAGGGATGCAGGGCTGGACGGTGCAGGGAGGGCATGCTTGGTGGTGTGTAGAGATTGTTCCTGGCTTGTTGGGATGTCTACGTCCGTTTGTTCGCTCAGGCGGCCGTGCCTGGCTGTTTCAAGTTGGACAGATGCTCGTATCTAGGGTTCTTTCTATGTACTCGCCCTACGTCCTCTTCGTTGTCGCCAGCCAGAGAAACCTACCCAAGCATTTCTGCAGTCTCCCGCGGAAACACCTGTCTCGTCCAGTGGTGCCACAAACCGACAAATGGCAATATTACATCGACGGTACTTCAGAGAGGCCGTCTTTTGGCATTTGCTTTTCCCAGTCATAAAAGCATGATATCTGGGTTTCATGTGCGAGCAGTGCCAGAACAACCAGTCAATTTCCTACACGTTTACCATACGGGCATCTCAGCCTTGAACCACCAGTGCCCAGCATCTCTTGAAGTTGGTCCCATCACGTGGACGAGCATCATCGAAGGGCAGGGAATTGGCTGTTATGTGAGAGATCCATAGCCTTTGTGAGGGGGCCGCATCTGAGACACTTGGAGAGAGCAAGGCAGGTGGTCTCTCAGGCACTCAACTTGCAGAGAATGGCGTGACTCCACGGGATGGATACAGACATGTACCTGCATGCTGCCCGTCGGGCAAGAGACAACACACATCTGGCAGCCTAGGTCCGCCCTGCTTGACACTACAGCCACAACACAAAAGAGAAGTTGTTGATCAGGTTTGATCGTCCGCGTTCGGAAAGGCGAGGCTTCATCCAGCAGGACATGCTCAAGCAGGAGCGGAAAGCAATCGGGTAGTGGTGTCACATTTTGCCAACCTTTGGCTGGCCGGTCGCATCAAATGGTTGTTTGGGAGGAATATAAACCTGGCCTCGGCGATGTGACTGACCTGCCCGTATAACAGGCTTACAGGCCTGCTTCAGGCCGTGCTCACGGGTTGGCGCACCTGGGGGAGGCGCAGCATTCCAAGGTTTTTTAACGTATGACCCGCAATATAAGGGGCGAGATTGCTAGGTGCCAAGCTTATTTATTTCCCCCAGAGGCCCACCTTGGCCGGCGAGGCCTGCAGACAAACAAGCCTGACAAGCCTGACAAGCCTGACAAGCAGCCCTGGGGCAGGAGTCGCAGGACAATCCATTCGGTTTCAGGCCATTTCAGCTGTCAATAAACGGCCCGGACGAGTCAGGCCTGTTGGCTGTTGGCTGTTGTCTGTTGTGGTGTTCTGTCTTTGTTGATTGTCGGCTGCCCAAGGTGGTGATGATGGTGGCGGCGGCGGTGGCCTTGGACGGCCGCAGGGGGGGATCGGTTTGTCCCAAGGGGATCGCCCCTAATAAGGGATTTGCAGCGGGATGGATGGATGAAACGAAACGCTCTACTGCGGCCCTCGCCCACGCCGTACCGGCATTTGACGGTTTGCCGGCAGCCAACCAGAATACACAGTAATAAAGAGTACGAGGGAAGAAGGATGTCGGCACACTCACCCGTAGATCTGCGTAGGTGATCCGCCGCGTATATAACCCCAAGGTTCCATATAAGCTTGTCGCGTCGATGAGCTTGAGGAGCTTGCTTTGCCTGTCGCGCCCGTCTCTCTGGTACTATCCCCCATACGCCCCCTGCCCCCCGCGAATCGCAATTTCACAGTCAGCCAGTGCCAGGCAAGAAGTTCAGTGGTGCATTTCGTATCCCAACCCTGCCGAGCTCCACCTACGTCTAAACTCAGGGGTTCGCCAATAGCCATCCCTGCCCCACCGCGGACATTGGAACCCTGGGACCCTGGGACCTGCAGTGCAGGGGGCGAGGCCTCTCGATTGATCTCATCTCTCAAATTCGTCCCATAGACTAGGCCTACATTCCCGCGAGCTTTATTCTTTCGCCCTCACACCACAACAACACCACCATCACCAAACCACCACAGCCGTCCGGAGTCCATTCTTTTACTTCGTTCGACTTGTCGGTCCGTCACTCCCTCTTGGTCTGATATATACACAGTCGTTCATTCACAACCAACCACTGCTCTTCAGCAAGCCCCCTTCAAGACTCTTTACCATGCAGTCCAAGATCCTCACCGCGTCTGCCCTGGTCGCAGGCGTGTCCGCCGCCTCCAACTACCTCGGCTTCAACTCCGGCTCCGTCCACGGCAGCGGTGCGGCCAAGACCCAGAGCGACTTCGAGAAGGAGTTCAAGACCGCCCAGAACCTCGTCGGCGCCCCTGGCGACTTCAACGCCGTGCGTCTCTACACCAACATCCAGGGCGCCACCACGGCCGACCCCATCTCCGCCTTCCCCGCCGCCGTCGCCACCAAGACCTCCCTGCTGCTCGGCATCTGGACCTCTGGCACCGACAGCATTGCCAACGAGATGAACGCCCTCAAGGCTGGTCTTGAGAAGTACGGCGACGACCTTGCCAAGCTGGTCATCGGTGTGTCCATCGGCTCCGAGGATCTCTACCGTGCCGGTGCCACCGGCGTCGAGAACAAGGCCGGCATTGGTGCTGGCCCCGACGTCATTGTCAAGTTCATCAAGGAGTTCAAGAGCGAGTTCTCCAAGTACGACTTCTCCATCGGCCACGTCGACACCTGGGACGCCTGGACCAACGGCTCCAACTCGGCCGTCATCGACGCCGTCGACTGGCTCGGAGTTGACGAGTACCCCTACTACCAGACCGGCGACGACAACACCATCGACAACGCCGCCAAGCTGTTCAAGGAGGCCTACGACAACGTCGTCAACGTCGCCAAAGGCAAGGACGTCTGGGTCACCGAGACCGGCTGGCCCTACGAGGGTCCCGACTGGGACAAGGCCGTCCCCAGCGTCGAGAACGCCAAGCAGTTCTGGGACGAGGTTGGCTGTGACCAGCTGTTCGGCAAGGTCCCCACCTTCTGGTACAACCTGGTCGACGACTCCACCGTCAACGAGATGTCCTTTGCCATCACCAAGGACCTCAACACCAACGCCCTCTTCAACCTGACCTGCCCCGCCAAGACCGCCTCCAGCTCGTCCGCCTCCGCCTCCGCCACCGGTCTGACAAGCCCCAGCGGCACCTCGACTGCCACTGCGGCCGACGCGACCTCCACTGGATCCTCCAGCTCTGGCAGCTCCAGCAGCGGCTCCGGCAGCGGCTCTGGCAGCAGCTCCTCCGGCTCCGGCTCCGGCTCCGGCTCCTCTTCCAGCTCGGACTCTGCTGACTCGTCCTCGACCTCGCCCGTTGCTGCCAGCGGCGCCTCGGTTGCCAAGCTCGGCTCGTCTGCCTTTGGCGCCATTGCTTTCATCGCTGCTGCCTTCGCTCTCCTCTAGATGGATCGTTGCGGCAAGATCTAGCGGGAGAAAAATATACGCGGTTGTCAACATTTTCGATTGGGTATGAGCGTTGTATTCTTCCTTGCGATTATTTGGTCAAGACGATGCGGGTGTGTCATCCGGCATAGACGATCTATGTGGGCCACATCTCGCACGTCAGAATCGATACCCAAATTCTATAATAGACAGATAAACTTGGCATGGTCTTGAATAACTATTATTGTACTTTCTGGGTCTCTTGAACGGAGCTGATCACGTGAACGGTTATGGATTGTGCTCGAGCTGCCCCAGACCAGCAACGTTCCGTATCCGCGGTTGTGTGGGTTGGTTTATCACCCACCTTGCACAAGCTAGGACCGAGCGTCTTCTGGGCCTCTTTCTTAGTGAACTCGATCACTGCCTCAAGATCCGCAAAATAGGCAAGCCATCCAGGAGGATGAGCAGGCATCGACGCGTGGCTATACCTGCGACTTGAGTTGAACGGAATAATACTCGACGAGAAGGTCAATCTGTTGCAGGAAGCGTGGGGGCATTCGTATTCAGTCGTACTTGCACGCACAGGGAGAGGGTCAAGATTGATGGTCTTTGGTCTTCGCCAGATACTTTTCCTCCGACACAAGGAAGGGTAAAGGGGTATCATCTATCATTAAAATTATTTAGTAGCTTCCGGGGTATGACGCTGGCCAAACCTCTGCTCTATCCGCACCCAAAGCCGCTTTGAATCTATTGCTCATCACTGACACGTCCACATTAGACCTCCCGCTCTCTCCATCCGCGTCTGCTACCAATGCCGTGATCTCTCTCTCCTCCCCTCTCTACGCCGCCGTCCCGGGAGCCACGCCCGCAGGGGGCGCATAGTACCCATGAATACCAGGATCGGCATTGCTGTGCTGGTGCTGGCGCTGCTGCTGCTGGAACGCAGCCTGGGGCGGCAGGACAGAGGTCCTGTGGTCGAAGAGCTGCGTGCCGACGGGCGCATAGTAGGTCCTGCCGTCGGCGGGGCCCTGGGACGCGACGAGGTAGACCACCTTGGTCATCTTGCCATACTTCCTCCTGCGGTCCGTCTCGACGCACGCCATGATGAAGAGGGTGACGTGGGAGATAAGCATGAGCACGGAGAAGGCGGCCAGGGCCTCGATCATGCGGAAGTACTTGTCGGCGTCGGCCTGCGTGGGGAAGGTGTACATGTCGCAGGTGGGCCGGCCGTCCATCGTGTAGTCGTTGATGGGCCAGTCCGCGTCGTACGTGCAGTCCGGGTCGATGTTGTACCAGGCCAGCTCGTCGGCCACGGCAAAGCACAGGGACATGGCCACGAGCAGCGCGAGCACCGACAGGAGCAGGTGCACGCCCACGTGCGCCCCCGGGTGAATCGGGCGCCAGCCCTTGCGGACGGCCAGGGTGATGTGCTCGGCGAGTTGCCATATGAGCGACACGACGGCCTGTTGGGTGGAGGGGCCTCTTGTTAGCCTACTGTGCACACACAAAGAAGATGTTGTCTGGGTTGACGTGACGTACAAGGGACAGGCAAATCGCGATGCCGATGAATGAGCTGAACGTGACTGTCGACATGATCAGGCCGAGAGACAGGCCCAGGGCGATTATGGCAAAGACGAGGTTGAAGGAGCCCAGCACAAGCTTGGCGATGGAGAAGGGCTTGCTGGTCTGGAATGTCGGCGCCCTGGTAGGAAGACTCTCGAGCGGCTGGAACTGCTGCTGGGCGGGCTGGGCTGGCGTGCTGAGGCGTGCGGCAGCTGGCTTCTCGGTCCCGCCAGGCTGGGTGCTCGGTGGGTTCTCCATGGTGATTAGGTGAAGATGTCGTGAGGCGATGCAGTTGTGAGCACCAACTTTGATTCCAACACAAAACCCAACAGAGACAGACACACAAACAAAGCGAACGTGGTCGACCAGAGGTCAGATCAAGCAATGTGAGAAGCAGGGGCGAGAAGGAGGGGAGGGCAAGAGAAGAGAAGATTCGGAATGACCTCAGTCTTCATATCCCTCGCGCCCGATCCTCTTGCCTTCCTTCCTGCCGTGTCGTGCCATGGCCTACCCTGCTGCCCGGCTGCCTGGACCTGTCTGTGAGGAGGGCTCTGCGTATGCGGCAGCGTGTCCAAAATAAAATGAGCCGGTGGTTGCCTGCGGGAGGTGGTTGGCTGGATGCTGCATCCTTCGCGCGGCTAAGCTCAAAGAAGCCTCGGACATGTGCTTGGCATCCCGGCCTCCCAGGGTTCGCTGCAGCGCGCCACGCCAGGAGCAGAAATGGCGCGGGAAAAGTGAGAAAGGGAGAGAAAAATCAAAAGAACGGTTCGGTTGCCGCCTAGTCAGCGGATGCGAGGTGCAAAGCCTCATCTTCCCGTGTTATCTTTCGTATACGGATACACAGACACGAGGCCAGACAGACGGGCGCCGTGGCTGACTAAGATCAAACATGCATTTGCCTCGTACCGGCAAAATCTGCAATCGTTCCGTTAGCTTCAATCCAATTCAATGCTTGGTGGCTCCAACCACCCTTCACGCCACCTCGTCCACACGAGCTTACAGCGGCCTGTTTGAGTTGTTCTACACAAGGAGATGAGCCACTGAGCCTGTGAGGTGACTTGTTCCACATCGCCAGTCCCGAGTCTCGCACACACCCCTGACTGTTGAGCAGCTTGAAACAGTCGACCATGGCATACCCTCGTGCTCTCAGCACCATCAGCCGCTGGCATGGCCTCACCTCTGGCTTGGTCCTGGGCCCTCTCAAAGCGTCCATGAGCCGCCTCAGTTCCACAAGCGCCCCAGGCCTGCCGTCAGGCGCCTTATGGATCACCGCCTTTGAGAAGGCCATGCATGACATTTATGGTGACCAGTGGAAGGAAAAGCTCACTCGCGACGGGAGACGATATGTGCGTGCTAAGGAGAGGGGCCGTGAGAGAATCAGGATATACACAGGCGAATTAGACACGCCTGTACGGCCTCTCCACCCGGACGGCTATAACCCTGATCACTGCCAGTGGCAGAAACGAGTGCAAGAGATAAAGGCTCGCATTCTAGTAAAGGGTCGTGAATTTCGGGTAACACTAGAAGCTACGGCTGAGGCTCAAAAAGCCCATCCTCAAGAGATCGAAGAGCTGAAGGCTCTCAATTTGCCAGAGGGCAATGGTGGTGGGGTAACACCAGAAGCTGCAGCTGAGGCTCAGAAAGCCCATTCTCGTTAGTTTTCCCAGGTGCTAGTTTCGGGTCTCTTCTCAAGATCGGGTTCAAGATGCCATAATACAGGACAACCTTCGAGGTGCCATCCATGTCTGCTAGTGGGACTCTCGCCATTTGGACCTGAACAAAGAGAACAGGTGGGGAATTGACTGCTCAACAAAGACGACTATACCGACCGGCTGAGAGGCACCAGCGTCCTTGTGATGGTCAATCACAATGGATTGTCACAACTGCTCAGCACAAATAAAGACGATAAGAAGAGCACAACTGCTCCACTTGCAAGCATTGTAAGGCAACATTGAAGGACATTGCCTTCGTCGTCGTGGCCGCGGTCATTGAAGTCCTCAAGCATATATAATGACCAATATAATTAAATTCTGGCAATTTCAACTTGCTCTCATCATCACTCACGCATTGCAAAGGCATCATTACGCAACATCTGAGTTCACGCAGTGACATCGCCATTTGACCATCTTCGCACTGCAATCTCATCACCTCCACCATGTCTCAGCAGCAGAACAGCAGAAATACCAACGACGCCTCCCCATCTCGGGACAGCGAAACTGCTCAGTCTGACCTGCGCCTCCGGACAGGCTTGCACATCCGCACCGAGCCTCATGAGTCCGCCAGCGAAAGGTTTCCCGCCTCCGAGGGTGAGTTTGGTGACGGTAGCAGCGAAACTGCTGGCAGCATACCCTCAACCCTTCGATACAGGCCTCGCCCGTCTCCAGTCAATGAGTCTCCCAACTCTGCTGGCAGCATACCCTCAACCCTTCGATACAGGCCTCGCCCATCTCCAGTCAATGAGAGCCCTACCTCCGGCGGCGGAAACCTGCAGCCCGCCAGCCCCCAGGACTCCGTGCCAACTTCATCTGGCGGCAGCCTGCCTTCGTTTCTCCGGCACACGTATATCTCACCGGAAGACCTCCCACCCCCGGATACCATGCGCGCCGTCGCCCAGGCCTTTGGCTTCGCGGTCGGCACTTCGACCCCGAGCTCACCCTCCCCCGCGGCTGCTGAGGAGCGCCGGAGGGACTACTGGCGCACGAGGTCGTTGAGCTGTCCACAACCGCTGGACTGTGAGCTCTGGAGTTCGCAAATGTACGCTGATCACAACCCGAACAGGAACTGGGATGAATACTGTGACTTTGCTGAATACTGTCAATTTGTGCAGGTTCTACGTGAGAGCAGGTCCCACCGCCTGGAGACGTCCCACGCCCCGAGGGAGCCCCGTAGCCAGCCTGGATCGTATAGCCCGGCCCAAGGGTTCGGCCCATTCCGCGTCGGTATTTTCCATAGCCCGGGCCGGTGTAGCACGTCGTCCACGAACAGCCCGCCGCCGCCCAACTCTCCAGTCCCGCCTCCAGACCAGCAGCCTGAGCAGCCTGAGCAGCCTGAGCCTCGTCGATTCATGCAAATGCTTCTCTCGCGGATTCTGGCCCTTGAGGACCCTGAGGATTCTGAGTAAGGACCTCGAGGATATGGGCAGTTGTGGTCTGTACAGATATGTGAGAGGTGAGTTTTAGGGAAGCTCTTTGATCACGCGGGATTTGCCTGTCTATTTCTCGGATCAGAGGTTTATTTAGAACGCAAAATAAGATTGTCACATACGAGGCGCTCTGTCTAACATGTTTTTGTCCGGATTGATTTTCTAAATGTTTGCAATCCATGTCTGGTCTTTCAAGCGAAAAGGTACCAAAATAAATTGAAATTTCCCACAGCTTCGTGGCTGCTACTGGATCCAGTCAACTAATTCATCGAAACATGTGACTCTGGTGCTACATATGATATCATAGGTAGGTGCGTCGTCAACTGGTGCGCGACAAGCGTTTGCATGCCCAGCCGGTTCTGCCATCCTACCATGTGAGTGTGTCCATCCAATCTTCCTTCTTCCTCACGTCACGAGTAAACTCATGAGCCGCAATGAAAAAGCATGAAATGATCTGTTGAACAAAGCAACGTCGTGGAGGGGACGACACCCCCCCTGGCTTCCACTCGATGCCCCGCCGATGGAGGTAGAAAAAAGACCATCAACACCAAGCTGAGGACACCGGATCAACAAGACCGTGTAGTTTATACTCCCGCAGGAGTTTCTGTAACCTTTCCACCGCCTTCCACCCATCGCCCTCGGCCCATCCAGTCGTCGTACCTCGGCTCGGAGCCGGACTCGGGTTCGCGCGTTCGTATCGATCGAGTATCGCCTCGCCTCTGCTGACAGGGCTCACGTCAAATCCCCCACCCGAGGCCGTAGCCTGGCTTCTTCCCAGGCGTTCTCCCATCGGGAAGGGCGGCGAATGGCTTCCTCCCTGCCTGCCCTATGTCGTCGATTCGGTCGAGTGGTCGGTCGGTCGGTCGGTCGAGTGGTCGGTCGGTCGGTCGGTCGGTCGTCGATCGGTCGGTCGCCTCGCCTCTGCTAACAGGGCTCACGTCAAATCCCCCACCCGAGGCCGTAGCCTGGCTTCTTCCCGGACTCACCAGAGGTGTAGACTGGGCCCACCCACGGAGAAGGGCGTCGAGCGGCTCCCCCCCTGCCTGCCCATTGTCGTCGGTTCGGCCTCGCCTCTGCTGACAGGGCTCACGTCAATTCCCCCACCTGAGGCCGTAGCCCGGCTTCTTCCCAGGCCTGCCCATGGGGGAGGGCGCCGAACGGCTTCCTCCCTGCCTGCCCTTTGTCGTCGAGCCGTATCGTCGGTCGGTCGCCTCGCCACTGCTGACAGGGCTCGCGTCAAGTTCCCCACCTGAGGCCGTAGCCCGGCTTCTTCCCAGGCTCGCCAGAGTCGCGTACTGGGGCCTACCCTCGGACGAGACCGCGGACGGCTTCCTCCCTGCCGGTCTCAGGCGCCTGCGGGCTGGCAGCATTGATATGTCGCCCGTCCTGGTTCACTCCTGTGTGAAATGTGAGTAGATCGTAGAGCGAGTGCTTGGATTCTTGGCAGGGGACATGCTGTGTGTGGGCAATGAAGACGGCTAGGTGAGTTGAGGTCAAGATTGTGTGGCGGGTAATGCTGTGGGGCAGCAAGGTCAGACTGGAAGGAGGCGGTGCTGTGTGAGAACGAGGGTATGCGAGGGCGATGAGTGAGGGTAAGGCTGAACGAGGGCGAAGTTGAGTGAGGAAGAGATTGGTTGAGAGGTTGGTTGAGGGGAAAGTTGATTGAGGAAGGGAAAGGCTGAGTAACCGCAAGACAGGTTTTGCGAAGAAGAGTTGAGCGATAGTAAGGCAAGGTAAATGTGATAGTAAGGTTGATTGATAGAGAGATGGCGAGTGGTAGTAGGTTTGTGCGATGATGGAGTCAAGTAGGGAATTTGGAGTGTGATAGTACTGGGCAAGGTTGGGTGGTAGATGGGAAGTGAGGGAGTTGAGGGTGAGTGTGAGTCACAGCCAAGTCGAGTCATGGTGAATTCGATTGAGGGCAAAGTTGAGTGACGGACAGATAAATTCAGAGCCAGGTGGCTGCCAGTGGTGGTGGCGGGGTTGAGTGCTTGTGGGGAGAACGCGAAAGCGAGATGAGTTTGGGTCTGGGAGGGGAAACTTGTGCAAGACGAGGTTTTGCGAGAACAGGCTGATTGAGAGGAGCTTGGTTGACGAGGCAGAGGTTGGTGGAGGAGGGGTTGATGGAGGCATGGTCGATGAAAAAGAGCTTGATTGAGGCGATGAGAGGTTGGGGGAGGAGAGTTCGATGGAGGAGAAGTTGATGGAGGGGAGGTTGATGGAGGAGAGGTTGATGGTGGAGAGATTGATGGAGGAGAGGTTGATGGAGAAGAGGTTGATGAAGGAGAGGAGGATTGTGTGAGAGAAAGCTTACCTGCGTCTGCGATGGGTCGGTTCGACTGAGGGAGGTCGAGTTGGGTTGGGTTGGAAGAAGTAAGAAGGAAAGTCGAAGTTGAGGGTGAGGTCTCGGTGTTTAAGTACTCGTTCAGGGGTGGCCTGTGCACGGCTGATTCGAAGCATCCGGCAGTTACTTTTAATTGTTTCCCTTGAAGGGTGACTTTGAAAAGTGAGGGTGGTTGTTGACGTACCTAGGCAGCTTCAACGATGCGCGTGGTGTCGAAAGTGAATTGGGTGGACGTGTGGGTCTGGGCCACTGACAAGGTCCATAGAGGCACAGGTCAGTAGCTCAAAGTTCCCAGGGGAGTAGTCAGTCACTGACGCTCAAGACAGCGATTTGATAGTAGACACGGTTAACGGGGGATGGTGCAAGAGGATCTTGGGCCCTACTCCATGAATGGGAAGACAATTGTAACTCCAATCATGACTCCCACCCCCGTGTTTCGTGTCTTCATTCGACCATTGTGGATGGCCTAGAATGATTCCGCAGATGGTTCAGTAAAGCCGTGACCATTGATTCCGTCAGTATATGAAAGACTTCGGACACCTCGCACCGTTGACTGTTGGTAGTTGTGGTTTGGAGACTTTACTATGTTGCTTGAAAACTGATAACCTAGGTACCAATGTATCTACACATCTAAGTCCACCCCCAACTAATTAGGTACTGCCAGTACCTTAGTAGCACCTGGGCACTGTTGAGAAAGTGAACTGACGTGAGGGACTCACCTTCTGACTTGGGCGAGTAGATCAGCCTCTACGGTTTTCGCTGACCCATTGTTCTCTCCTTGACAATAGCAACATATTTGCAAATTAGAGACTCGAACAGCATTCACATGTACACACAAGCTGCATAAGCCCTGGGAAGTTTGTAGCTTCGTTTTCTTTCAATATCCTCGTTGCGCGTGTAATACTCCAGCAGGGAGAAAGACACGCCACTACCTAAGTACCTAGGTACCTTGTGCAATGAACGGGGCTCTAGCCTTGAGGTAGATGGCAATGCGAAGCCCAAGACGGCAATTCCATGTGCTGCTTGGTGGTGTCACATTCAAGCATGGCTCCTTTCGGGACGTCTGACTGACTGCATCAATGCTTCCTATGTGGTCTGAATCGTGGTAACTAACAGTATCCTACCTAAGCAGCCCGTGGTAACCTTGCCACATCGACAAATGGCGTTGCAAGTGAGTGACATCTGACGGCCCCTAAATACCTACTAGGTAGCTGGTATCCCTGTGGCATCTGGCTTTTGCCCTATGGAAACTGCTCGAGCTGACGGTGCTCTGGAGACCAACAGCTGGGGACAGAAACACAGCAGCAGAAACACAACTACTAGACTTAGGTCTACGCGTGCCCGGTGAGACATGGCCTGTCACGTTCTAGATTCAGCCCGCCGGCAGGAAAAGCATCTCTTCATAGCAAGCCGAGTCCCATGCAGTCGACCCTCGGGAGTTTCACAAAGGGTTGCACGTGGCCCAAGGGTAGAAACCGTGTTGCGCGGACACATGCCAGTGATAGCGAAAGGTCTTGTGCGGGGCTAGGGTCCTGTCAATCATCTGGTCGGAGTTAGTGCTGTTCAAAGATCCTGGGGTAATAAGGCGAACGTCTGTCGGCTTTTGAGTTTTCTTTGCGCTTGTTTTGGAGGTTGAGGAGGGTGTCAGCCGCCCGTGGCGCCTCTTAATAAATGGCCGGCGTGATCTCGTTGGCTGCAACCCTCAGGGCCCTGGGGCTGAAAGGGGGGGAAGGGTTTGTTAGGTCAGGGGACTGACTTTTCTGATGAAGACAATGCCATCATGGGGAAAACCCCAATCCGAAGCAACACACACACACACGAACAGTGCCAAACATGGATTGCTTGACCCAACGTTGAAGGGAAGCAAGCACTCCTGACCGCATCTTATCTGCCCCGCGATGCGCACAGCCATAGCAGCCAGCCAGCCCTACCAAAGTCATGTCCCCTGGCCTGCGGGGAGCTGGGTTGTTCGTGGTTCGGCGAGCCCAGCACCCAAGCCCCAATGTCGCACCGCAGTCGTGACTGGGTGGTGCATCGTGTGAGGCGTGCACCATCCCGTCAGGCGGTCTATCGGGTTTGCGTCCAGGGGGCGGAAGGGGTCCCAAGGTGAAGAGGGGAGCGGTGACGGGAAATTAACCCATAACATTGGCATCAAATGACATGGCAACAATCCTGTGTACCTGCATGAATGGATGGTATGATGGTATGATGGAGAACCAGAGGAGAGGGAGGACAAGCCCATATATGCTGCTCTGCTTTCCCTTCTTTCTTTTTACCTGGGGCAACGGGCATCTCGAAGGACTCCTCTTACCTTATTCACCCCTCCATCCTCTTCTTACACAGTAATAACCCAAAAAACCACCACCCAACCAACCACCCAACCATGCCGCGCTCCACCGCCGTCGTCCCCGTCGTGCTGGACAACCGCGTGCAGCACCTCGGCAAGCTGTACATCAACAACATCCGCGCCGCACAGAGGCTGCCCCTCGGCACCTCTGACCACGTCTACTCAAATCACTATACCTCGGTATGTTTATTCATTTCTTTGTTCTTTCTCTCTTTTTCTCACTTCTCCAGGGCTGGCAGGCCCACCTAACCGTCAGTGGCTGACCATATGATACCATAACCAGAGCTTCGTCGAGGAGGACGTCCTGGCCGCCAAGCTGCACTGGCTCAGGCATCGCGCCAACGGCCTGTTCCGCCGCAGGCCTGACCCGGACGAGCTGAGGGGCCGGCCGCGGCACCGGGACTGGGAGTGACCGATAAGCGATTCGGGGAATTCCTGCATGATTCTTGGTGTGGAGTTCTTTTTTTCGGTCCTTTTTTTTTCTCTCTTTTTTTTTGTTCCCCTCTCCCCCAAATGGTGGGGCACGCATGACAGGCTACTTTTTTCCCCTCCCTAGAGAGAGAGAGAGATCACGGAGTCAAATGGAGTTCTGGCACGGGTCACAGGTCCAAGGTTAAACAGCATGAGCATGGGGCGAGAACGGAGGACGTCTGCGGCTTGGGTCGGACACAGCAAAGCGAAGCACAGCACAGCACAGCACAGCATACATATCACGACTGCTACTACACATGCCCTAGTGGGCTATAATAAGAGGAGGACATCATTTGTACGCAGCATGCATCCGTCTATTCACGGTCTCGCATCTCTAATGCTAAAAAGGCCGCCCCCTCCTCTGCTGGGGGTGGCGACCGGGTATCGTTGAAAGCACCGCGACCCAACTGGTCTTCTTTTGCCCGTGCCCTTTCTTTCACTCCGCCTCTGCAGGCAGAGATGCCTTGGTTTTAACTGTTTCTATCACTTCAAGTTGTAGTAGCAAGCACCCAGGGCCTTGCTGACCCTGGGAGGAAACGCCGGCTTACTGACGCGTGCTGAGGCCGCTCGTGGCGGCGTCGGCATCGGCGTCGTCGGAGCTGTTGCCGCTGCGGTTCTGCACCGCGTACGCCTTCTCCGTGTCGGACGACTTGCGGCCGGCGGCCGTCTTCTCGGGGTCGGCGGCGTGGTGGTGAGTCTGGTGGACCCTCTCGACCGTCTCGATGAGGCCGTACCGCATGGCCTCCCGCTCGACCTCCTCGTCGGACAGGTAGGGGAGCTCCTTGGCGGCGCGGACGTACGACATGTTCTCGACGCTGCCCTTGGCGAAGATGATGTCGATCTCCTCGAGCGACCGGCGGGCCGTCTCGGGGTAGAAGATCCAGATGACGGGCAGGAAGCAGGCGTTGACGACGGCGAAGAAGACGTAGGTGCCCCAGCCGATGTTGGTGATCATGATGGGCGTCACCATGACGATCAGGAAGTTGAAGAGCCAGTTGGTGCACGTCGACACGGCGTTGGCCTTGGCCCGCGTCTTGATGGGGTTGATCTCGGCAGGGTACAGCCACGGCAGCGGCAGCCAGCTGGCCCCGAAGCTGGCGATGTAGGTGAAGAGGCCCACGGCGGCGCCCTTGGCCGCGGCCTGCGACCCGGGGATGAGGCACGCGAACACGAGGATCATCGAGGTCATCTGGCCGATGGTGCCGTACAGGAACAGCTTCCGCCGCCCGACCCGCTCGATGATGAACCACGACACGGTGGCGAAGATGGAGTAGACGATCATGTTGACGCCGCCCAGGATCAGCGACAGGTTGCGCTGGCCCCGCAGGATCGACTCCTCGAACAGGATGGGGAAGTAGTAGATGACGGCGTTGCACCCGCCCACCTGCTGCATCAGCTGCGACGAGGCGCCCAGCAGCATGCGGCGGAAGTGCTGCGTCTTGCCGTTGGTGAAGAGGGCGCTGTAGGGCGTCGACTTGGAGAAGCCGCCCGAGGCGCGGATCGAGTCGACAATCACGTCGCGCTCCAGGGCCGTCTCGGCGCTCTCGAGCTCGTAGCCTCGCAGCGCGGCGATGACGATGTCGGCCTCCTCGTAGCGCTCGTGGGTGAGCAGCCAGCGGGGCGACTCGGGCAGGAACCACATGGGGATGGAGATGATGAGCGCGAAGATGATCTGGAAGGCGATGGGGAAGCGCCACGTCAGGTCGTCGGGCCCGAAGCTGGCGCCGTAGTCGATCCAGTAGGCGATGCAGGTGCCGAAGGCGATGACGCCGCCCTCGATGCAGATCAGCAGCCCGCGGTTCGTGGTGCGCGAGCACTCGGCCTGGTAGGTCGGGATGGTGGACGTGTTCATGCCGTTGCCGACGCCCATCACCACACGGCCGACGATGAACTGCGCGTACGGGTTGGAGCCGTACACGCTGGTCACCTGGATAATCACGCCGGCGATCATGACGAGACCGCCCATGATGATGACACGCCGCCTTCCCAGCAGGTCGCCGACACCGAGGATGAGCATGGCGCCGAAGAGACATCCGACCTCGTAGATGGCGGTCGTGAAGCCTTGCATGGTGCTGTTGTTCCTGGTTGTTTCGAACATGTTGTTGAAGGGGACTGCGGTGATGATGCCGCTCATGACACTGCGCAACAACCCATTGATGTCAGCATCACCAGCCTGTTCTGTCTCCCTGGGCCGAATACTGACCCTTGATCATATCCAAAGAGGAGGAAACCCGTAGTCGCCACGCATGATACGAGCAGGGAGAGCGGCCGCCCTGACAGGCCCAAGAACTTGGGAGGGGCCATGTTGTCCAAGCACCCTCGCGCGGGATGGTGGTGGTGACGATGTTGAAGATAAGTGTAGGTTGGCAGAACACTTTCTTCACGGTGTGGTCCCCAAGAGTAAAGGGTCAACTGGTGGTCTAGAACAGACAGGCAGGCTCGGCTCGGATAACCTCGAGGAAAGAGGCAGACCAGGTTCACACGTCGATGAGGGGTCAAGAAGGGCAGGCACACTTCGCGCCTCAAGGTAGCACGAGGGCCGGGCCATCCTTATATGTACATCACAGGCAAAATGCAACGTCCACCCACCCGTCCATCCACCCAGGTGGCCGTCGTCCATCAGTGACTGGCGGCCCAGTACTCCGTACCCGCCAGGTTCCCCATCGGAGACCCCAGCGGCCATCGAAGGAGGTACATATGTACGTTACTGTGTAGGTCCTCCCCCCCCGGCTCTCTTGACGAATGCCAACCTCGGTATGGTCGGTCACGAGCAGCGAGGGGCAGCAGTGAGCAGGCTGGGATTCGATCGAGGTGCTCAAGTGGGCCGGGGTCGAGGCGGGCGCTGCCGATCCACTTCTCTTGGAGGTTGGGCTGCGCTGATAGGCGAGCAGGTAGCAGACAGGTCCCTGAATATCTGACCGACAATCTCTGGCGGGTGCAACGGTGTTATTGCAGTCCCGTGGGGCCTAGCAGCCACTGCAGGCCGCAGCGTAGCATCTGGTTCGACTCATGCATGCGTGTGTGCGTGGACGCATGTGTGCATGTGTGCATGTGTGCATGCTGGCGGAGGTTGTGCTACTCCGAGTCGTGGTTGAGGATGGATCAGAGACATCAGAGAGGATGTGAAGACCCCAGTCGTTGCATGCTGACTGCTGCGCACAACATTGTTGATCGCCGTCGGCCTTGTGCGCGCAGAGATGGCCCTGAGGTCGAGGCTTGAGGCTCTGATAGGCCAAGGCGGGAGTCAAGGATGGATAGCGTTGCGGTTGAGGCGTTCCGGGCTCCACCGGCTCGTGGGCGAAAACGGCCGACAGGAGACGCACGAGAGGCTGAGGAGGGTGTGTGGTATTTTGACGGCATGAGGTCATCGCGTGGCCGCCGTCAAAGTTTGTCTCGTTCTTCCTTCTCTTCCTTGAGTTCGGTCGGGTGGCAGCCCAAGGGACGGCTCGGGTTCCCCGCTTCGTACAAGACCAGCCTGGGCACTCGCTCTGGTTCGACTGCAGGGCCGGAGATTTTGACTTGTTTTGGCCTGACGTTGAAACTTGTGCTGCCCGCTGCATGTACCTTCCCTGGCCTGCTGGTGGTCTCAGCACTGGGCTCATTGTTGGTGTTGGATGGCAGAAACTTTTACAGAATTTTCAAACATTTAATCTGGTATCCGGGGGTGGACCTTGTGTGTGTATATATATATATACATCTAGGTATTATACTCTGTAGTGTTGATAGGTATATCTGGCTGTGTTTGTGTACAGGTCCAAATGTCGCGTACTTCAGTGTGTACACCGTACCCATGCCTTGTATTGCATACTACACAGTACAGAAAAACTACACACACACGCGTGAACTCGTGGACCTCAGTTGCTGTTGTGGTGGCATCTGCCGTCGGATTTGTGGTCCAGCCCAACGTCGAACGGCGGGTCTGCACGCGCACGACCTAGCGCCCTCCAGGGCTCCTGTGCCATGGGGATTTTGTGGGACACGGGCGAGCCAGTTCAGTGGCGCCGTGGGGAATGCGGCAGCTTTGCTGTGATGATCCCTTGTTGACTCGTGCAAGCCAACCCCATGGCCGCCGATCAGTCACCAACAAGGCACCAAGGGACTGGAAATCTCAGATTCACACACGCTGGAGATGGCCCCCATCCCCCTCTCTGCAGCCGACCTCTCAGCGTACGAGTTCCTCATAAGCCGGTGGGTGGTTTTGTGGGTACGGGCGGCCAAATACTGTGAATTCTATGTCCTCGGATAATACCCCCAGGTGCCCGATCGTGCGTGCTACAAAGCAGAATCAGGAGACACAACCTTGTAAACCCAGCCCAATTCCGCCGTGGCTGGCCATGACCGCCCATGTAGATCTTTCCGAGATCTGGGTTCTCAGGCCCGCCGCCGACAGGGAACCTCCCTTTATCAAGGTTATCGACCTGCGTCTTACAAGGTCCTGACACATCCTCGGCTGTTGTTGGACCAGCGGCGGCGGCGCAAGCCCAGCTGCCCAGCTGGACATCACATCAGCAGCAGGGCACGCGGCATGTCGCCTCGTTTGCGACGTGACATCGGCAGCGAGGACCGGATGAACGTTCGGCTCGTCAGCTTCTCTTGTCCGCCTGGGGAGTTTCACATCCATTTCTGCTTGGTGTAAAAAAATCCGGGTGCTATTGCATGTGGGCCCGGTGTACATTCGCGCCCACCTCCTGATAGTCCACAGGCTTTAGCACACAAAATGCTTCCCATGTTGCTGCACCAGAACGGAGCCTGCTACTGCACCCTGTTTCGGCCTTGCAATTCTCCAGCCGTTGTTGCACTAGAAGGCGGTGAACCTTGCTTCGCCAAGCAGTCCTGTCTGGCTTACTCTTACCCACATCATTTCACGAAATTTGGAAACAAGCACAGAGGGCCTCAGGAGTTGCCTCGGCACACCTGAGCGGCAGGAGAAATAAGCATCGCCCAGCCCACCAACATCTGATGTTCCTTCTCCGATGTTAGTGGCGTCAATTACAGGCTCATAGTTTGCGTGTGCTTTCAATGGTGAACATCTCCGAGGCCTGCGGGAGTGGCATGGGCTGGGTCTCCCTCGGCCAACTTCCGGGGGTTAGGAGCCATGGAGAACTTGACATAAGTAAGGTCTAGTACGGATAGTACCGGGGTATTGTCCTTCTTTTTATAGTAATAGCTGCTAAACTTGTTTATCTTCTACCACTCTACCTTATAAGTTATATAATTTTAAATAATAGTATCTTTTTAAAATATTATAAGGTTATAATTAGTAATTAAAGTTAAATAAGTTTATATTAATATTAAAATTAAATTAAATATTTAATAATTTTAATATTATAATAAATAAATTTAATTTACTTACTTTTATATAAAAATTATTATTTAATAATATTAAATAATAAATATTTTTATTTTTATAATAATATAATTATTTATATAAAATTTTATTTTTAATTTTAATTTTTATTTTTAATTACTTATTTCTAACTTTTAATTATTTATTATATTTATTATATAATTTTATAATAATATTATTAATAGTTTTATTTTTTAATAATATTATATTTTAAGTTTTATATAAATTATACTATAATATTTAATAAGTCTAAATATATAAGAAATTATATTTATATATTTAACTTAAATATAACTTTATATACATTATTAATTACGAGATGACATAGCTGTTATTTAAGTAGAGGACGGACTAAAGAAATGCTAGAGGCGTGATATATCATTATATAGTGATCCTTGTATGAATCAAGCCCTTAAATGAAGTAACTCTTTCCCAAGTCCCGAAAGCGCAGTGGCAGCAGAGCTGGGAGCAGAAAAAGAAGAGCAATAAAAACCACCGACCGCTGCGAAAGACGCTGTGCAATTATCCTCATGTATTATTACATCAGAAAGCCTCTCAGTCTGCTTTTCGCAGATTACCAGCTGTAAATATCGGAGTCACATGGCCCCTCGCCTCATCCAGCTCCTTTTCCACAACTTTATACTCCTTCTCCCACTTTTTCATCTGTCTAGGTTTCCCCCCAGCGGTCATTAGCCCTGTGAGCTGGGCCTTTCTCGATGCTAATTTTGATACTTCAGGGCCGATGGAAGCAAACGAGTGGCTCGCAGTAGGTTCTGTCGTCGTCTGCAAGTCTTGAGTTGTGGCATCAGGGCCCTCCTCTATGGCTCTTGTCTCTGCCTCCTCATCCTTGGACGCTTCGGTGTCTTCCATCCCCACAAAGGTGACCCGTTTCTGTTTGACGGGATCCTTTGACGTCATCGTGACAACTCGGATTTCGGTTGCATGAGGTTGATGTTGATTACTCAGGGGAGACAGAAGTGTGTGTTGTGGGTGGCGTGTAGAAGCGCTGTGAGTGGCAGAGTTGGGTGGGAGGTGCAGGTGGTAGAAGATGGTCTGTTTGGTGATGCTATGGCGCGGTCAGCACCGGGCGAACGGTTCAAACTCAGCGCTGGAGGGTTAGGGTCTGAAATGGTTGTGATGCTCAGAATTATCAGGGAGTAAAGGGAATTCTAAGTCTCCGGGTCATAATGATGGACACTCCAGGAGACAGCGGCAGCGGTCTGGGGGAAAACCAACAAGAATGGGCAAAAAGCAAACTCTGTGAAGTGATAATGATTTACATGGGTAAGGACTAGCTCTCCCTTCTTCAGATATCACACTAGGCCAACGCTCCAGGAATGTAACTCCTTCCATTTCCCCCTCGACCGAGGCCGAAGATATAGCCTCTAGAGGCAATAAGGAGTGCTAAGCTTGCAGGGTTTACGTCACATGAATGGCACTACGGTGCTTGCACAAACACTTTTGCTATTCTTATTGGGACTCGCCGGAGGATGTCGACGAAACTGGATATATTAGTGGTTCACGACACCACGGAGCGGAACGGGTGCGCATGTTCGGGAACAAGTCTCAAGCTTCCGTCTCAGAAGCATCCTTATTGAATGAGAGTCATTCCAAAATTTCCACTCAACGCCTGCTAACACATATCCAATCGCTGCTATCAACAGACGCCTGAGAGACACCGCGCGCTGCGGTGGCTACTTCACTCGGACGGCAGAGCCTCATCGTCGCCGGGCTCACGATAAGAACCACCATCCGGCTTGGCACCCCGAGTGCGACCTTCGACAATGTTGGACTTGTCAATTGCCTCGTTGTCGTCACGCTCTGAAATCCCACAATTGTTAGCAGTGCTCTAGGTGGGTGAGCGTGGGTGAAAGACATACCTAGCTGAGCGTCAGAGTCAGCGGCTGCAGCGTCAACACCCTCCTCGAGGGGAGCATTGTCGTCCTGCACTGGGATCTGCTGGCCACCTTCGGTAGTGTAGTCATTGTAGGTCGCGTCGTCGGAAGCCATGATTCCTGATGATGTTGACTTAGAGTTTAGTGTCCTAAGTGCACGTGGGTTCTGGATCGAATTGTGGTCCGAAAATGTGGTTCTCGTGGGGTCTATTTCCGAGAATGCTGGTCTTGTGGAACTGGGTATGTGGCGTTGATCAGGTGTGGCACACAACCAGAGATGCTAGACAGTCCGGGGATTTCTTCCCGTCTTATATGTCCGACATTGAGAACGCGACCACCCTGCATCCACGGTGCTTCAGCTCCCATTGCACACTCGGCCAGTCAGTCAGACATTTCGCTGTGGGACGGACGGACCTCCCACGATCATGACGACGATGACATCTGCGGCCAGCGCTGGCGAGTCGAGTGCATCATCGCGAGCCGCAAGGAGATGGCGCCTGAAATCGATGGCACGTCCCGGATCTGTCCCGAACCGCTGGGCACGCACTAATAACAAAATAACCCATCGAGACGCACTGGCGGAGACGAGCGGTGCAGCCCCATTGAAACAGTTCGGTTCCTGACGATCATTACCATTGTTGCGACAGGGCCAATTTTGGGGATAGGGAGGTCATGACGAAAAGCGCATTGAATCGGCCGATTCGATCCATGATTCCCCGGGCCAGGGACCGATTTGCGAGTTGATACCCAGGCCGCAGGCTCGGAGCGCTTTCTCCGGCGCGGAACCTAGGAAATTGTTATAATCGGATCGTCCCAGCCTTGCAGACTGATAGCACCTGAGACTATCCACATCTGCATTGGTGCAACGTGGAAGCGTCATTGACCGTTGTCTGCACAAGACTAGTCGTGAGCCGCTTCAGCCTCAGGTCTTGGCATCTCTCCTGGACTAGACGCGTCGAGCGCACCAGCGTGGGCCGTGACTTCACTCATTGCAGATGCTGGTTCTTATGGTCGTTATGCTCATCATGCTGTCATTGACGGCAGTTGGTCCTCTGTCTAGGTCTGGAGTTCTCGTCTCTCCTGGGGACAGTGGTGATCGGGCACCTGTGCATTGGCTCGTCTGAAGCACCAAAGTCGAATACCTTGCTCTTTGCTTCGTTATCTTGTAGGTGCTACTTAATTGTGATCGTTTCGGCTAGTTCTTGACTGTCATCCCAGGAAGAAAAGGCTGCTGCTCCAACTCTGCGGAATACCTTGCCAGAAGGATCTTCCGTCCTGGCCAAAACAAGTGCTTCGATGCGGCTCTCGATTTCGTACCAGCTGTCCCGTTGCTCGTCTTCATCGGTTCCATCTGCCCATATCCTCTCTCTGTTGTATTTGGTCGGCCCCCGAAGACAGAGAAGCTCGGGAGGCAACGCCGTAAATCGCTCTGCCGTGTCAATGTCATCAACTGTCTTCTTGGCCCATCTCGCATAGCCTGCAAAAGGGATCCTTCTCCCCACAATTCCATCTAGGGTAGTGCCAGGCTCGATCTTGGTGGCCGGGAACACGGTATTCAGCGTATCGTCACATTCCCACGACCCAACGTTGTTGCCGCTCCTGTTGAGGATCAACATCCCTTGAGAGCTCGACGGGTCGACAGCTTTGGCAGAGTCATCTTCGAAGCCGTCAGTGATGTATGCATTCGCATTCTCGCCCCACCTAACCCAGATTGTCCTGCCCTCAACGGTCAAGCTTCCACCAGCAACGGGTCCAAAGGGATTGTCATCCCCCGCAACCAGGTCAACCTCGACGTCCACAATTCTCATCGGGGCCTCTTCGCCCACGCCCGGGCTGAGATCGGGCCAGTTCCACCAGACGCCGCCTTCCATGCTGGGCCATGCCCATGACGGAGCTCTGTATTCGCGGCACCTGGCCGGCTCTGGGCTCACGACCTCCCGGTCGGCACGCCAGAAAAGGCTGCGCTCCAGCTCGAGACGCCAGTGCCCGGCGAGGTAGGAGTCCTTGGCGACTTCGTGAATCGCCGCCGCAAGTCCAGCAATAGCGGGCAACTTGTCGCTGCTCATGGTAAGGGACCGACCTGTGTAGCTGGTAACAAGGTCGTACCATATCTTGTATCGACAGTTCCGTGACGCGACTTCGAGGAAATCGTACAAGTCGTTGTTTATCGGGCGATCGAGCACAGACAGCAGAGTCGGCTTCATGGCAGGCCTCGAAGCATCGGTCCTGAGATCGACTATGTATGTCGAGCGCCCATTTGGGGGTTCCATGAGAGAGACGACGAAGCTTTGGCTCGCTGGTTCCTGTTGTTCTTGCTCATCATCTGCAGGAGTTTCTACATGGACATCTTCCAATCTTGCGATATCAGCTCCCTGCGTTTCGTCAAAGGCACTGGTGTCGTGGCCGTTGTTTTCACCATCTTGACGTGCTATTAGGTCAGTCGGTTGGCTTTGAGCTGCATGCTGTTCTCCATCTCCCACTCCTGTTTCGCAATGTTCGCTTTCGTCGGCGTCGCTGTCATTATCATACTTTTCGAATTCGTAGACGCCAGAGTAAGCTGTCTTCATCACCCTGATTCTTCCCAAGAATGCGGGATGCCAGGCGTTGCTTCTCTCTTCGGTGTAGCCATACTGCGCCTCTATCCTCTCACAACACTCCCATACCCATTGGCCTCTACAGCAGTGTAATATCCTCCTCGAAAGGTACCTCTCTTGTAATGCCCAGGCTCTCTGAGACAATGGCCCGCTTGCTACCTTATCAGACCAGGGCGGGCCATAGCTACCGAGCCTGCTGCCTGTTACATATGCCTTGCCATCGGTAGCAGAGAATGTCTGCGGCAGCTGGACAATTTCAGAATGCGCCTCGGGGATGAAGCATCCTCGTGAGCCATCCAAAGCACCGGTGGCCGAGATCGTGAGTACGCTGTTGTGGTAGATCGAGCTCATCAGGGCAGACTCGTGGTGCCAGTCCTGTTCCGAGTCCTGGACTATGCACAGACTGTCAATCCACAAGAACTGGATCTGCAGCTTTCTCGCGATGGTGATGGCGTCTTTGAAAGATCGGGGCAGCTCATCCAGGGGAATGTTGTCCTGGTATTGCGCCAGTGTCGCAGCGTTGGTCTGTAGAATTTGCAGCCCACCCCAGCAGTGACTCAGTGCCGCGTATTGTCCCCGCTGGCCCTCGTCAGAGACAACTAAACGCGGGTCTAAGCCATCCTGCGTGACATCGATGACCCTACTGGGAAGCAAGGGGCTGTCATCCGAAGGAGCCGGAGCGCAGACCTTGTGGCGTTTTCCACAACTGTCCATCCAAGCACGGACAACATCGAAAAGAGCGTTCTGGGGTACATTCTGACTGGCGATTACGCGGCCAGAGACGTGGAAATCCTCCGCTGCACAACCATGCCGTCCCAGTGGGTCGCCCTCTTCGACGACGAGGTGCAAGTCTGTCGCCATATACTTGCTTTTCAGCCACACTCCGACGTACGCAAATCCAGATACTTTCTTGGATGCTTTATTTTCAGACCCCTCGGCCCAGTCATCAGGTACCAGCGACAGTTTGACGGCTTGGGAATCCCTTTCTGCCGTCTCTTGCGCACTGAAGAACCAACCTTTATCAGTGGCACCCTCGAACTGAAGCTGCGGTCCATGCTCTCTGCCGCAGCCATCACGCCAGATTGCGCGCTCGATGATGGCGCATAGGCGGCAGTGCTCGGCAGAAGATTGAAGGGCGGCTCTGTTCTCTGCATGGCGATAGAAATTCGGAGGGCGAAGCTTGGCTATTGTGAGACCTTGGCAAAGCTCACAGAGGGATGTCTTGTCGTGTGATTCGAGGCGCTGCAACCATATACTGCTCGAGTCTTGCATCATTGTCGGCCAACGTCTGAGATGCTCAGCTGATCAATATATTCACTGAATTCCCCCGATCTTATATTGTAGTGTAGAAACTGGAGAGTGACGTAAATACGAAGACAGACTTTGACGTCTTGAAGAAGCGGCTGAATTCCATTTCTCCAAATGGAAAGAAACAGGTGGCAAGAGCAGAAATTCTGAGTCACCGAGCTCCCCGCGCCTAGACTGGGATTGGCCGATCGAACATAGCGGCAAAGCGCATAAGCTGGCAAGATATTTGAGTGAACACACAAGAAAAGAAAGGATACATGTCCAGAGCCAGATATATCCCAGTGTAAAAAGTCGTAGATCTCCATAGACTCAAGATTATATCCCGCTTTTGCAGAAATCATGCACATGTGGGAGATCTAGGCAATTCCGCACCCACTCATACACGATACTTTTGCCCTGTCTTCATCAACAACGGCGTCCCCTTCATCTGATTGAAATCCATGGGGTCTTTGAATACTACCACCACTCCGGTACTCAATTTGGACACAGCTCATAACGGCTACTGGAACGGCTTAGCTTCTAAAAAGAAAGTCACCTCTCCAAGGGCATATCAGGATATAGGAAAAACCAAACATAAGCAAGAGCCTAATTAGAATATCAACAAAAGAATATCTGCGAGTCTCCGCCTTCCAACTGTAAGCGTAGCTGTTCAAGGTCACGCTGTTTAGATCCATTGCGTGTGCGTGAGTCGTGTGCATTCCCGGGCCCTTGGTACTTAACTTATAAAGTACGCCGAACCCCACACGTCTGTAGTGTGCTTTGTAGGAACCGCTGCGACGCTACTGTAACGCTGGACCCTGGTCCGAAGCCACATGCCTCGGCACACCTCGCTCGCACTCAAGTGACTTCAGGACTTCTGACAGCCCTACGCCGATGTGCGGAGGCCACGGACATGCTGACTTGAGTACCTGTAATCAATAAGATTGGCAGTAATTCACTCGCATGGCTCGCTCATACTGGTCCATGAACAAACCCACCTGTCAGGCAGAAATGGCCGTCACACCAGTAATCATCGGCGTCGCAGACGTCAAGAACAAGTCCGACGTCCTCAAGGAGCCCGCGACGCTGATGTTCGAGGCCATCTCCCACGCCATACATGACACGGGGCTCGCTTCTCTCGCTCCTGTGATATCGCAGATTGACAGCATCGATGTGGTGAGGACTTGGACATGGCCATACGCTGACCTTCCCGGCCTGCTGGGGAAGTGGCTGGGGCTCGACGAGAGGCCCGCCTGGACGAGGTATACGGAGCATGGCGGCAACGAGCCAGCTAGGCTGGTCGATGAGGCGGCAGGCCGCATTTCACGGGGTGAGACGAAGGTTGCTGTTGTTACTGGGGGCGAGGCACTGGCTTCTTGTGAGTTTGTCTGGTTGGCAATAAGCTTTATGGCCACTGGAACTCCTGATTTCAAGAGCCCATCTCAGGAATCGGGCTTTGTGTTGCAGCAAGACGTGTGCCATGAGACAAATTGACTGATATGGCTCACTATTCCCAGTGACCGCATTTTCAAAATCTGGAAAAGCTGAGCCCCCAGGCTGGACAAAGCCGGACACCTCTGTGGACACTGTCTTCTCACCATCGACGATGGATCTCGGTCAAGGTGCGCCGACGCGGCTTCTCTTACCAGCCAAATTGATAGAGCCGATCTAACTCCACACAGATATCGGCGGCATACATTCTATTGGAACACCCATACAGATATACCCGCTTTACGAAAACGGCTTCAGGGCGCACCGCGGGCAGACACCAAAGGACAACAACGACGAATCGGCCTCCCTTTACGCCGACTTCGCACAGGTGGCTGCGACAAACCAGTACTCCTGGAATTATGGAGTGCCACCGGCAACAAAGGAATCCATAGGGGTTGTGTCAACAAAAAATAGAATGATATGCTCGCCTTGTCCGTTTCCAAGTTCGCATCCACTGGTAGCAAATACTAACGCCATGCTCAGATCCTCTTCTCATGAACGCCTTCAACACTGTCAACCTCGCTGCCGCAGTGCTCCTGACATCGGCCGAAAACGCGAGGCAGCTCGGTGTGCCGGAGGACAAATGGGTATACCCTCTAGGTGGCGCAGGGAGGAAAGAGAGGGGCCATTTCTGGGAGCGGCCCAACTTCTACCACAGCGACGCGATATCGATCACTCTGGATGAGTGCCTGTCGCTGTCAGGAATTACACTCGGAGACATCGACGTCCTCGATCTATACTCGTGAGTATCAGGAATTCCAGCGGAACTGAACCACCATCTAATTGATGTCCCGAGCAGATGCTTTCCCATCGTCCCGAAACTAGCCTGCCACCATCTCGGCCTCCCGATTCTCAACAGTCCCAAGCCCCTGACGCTTCTCGGGGGCCTCACCTCATTCGGCGGGGCTGGTAACAACTATTCTATGCATGCCATCACCGAGATGTCGCGACAGCTGCGTGCTCGGAGGGCCAAGGCGGGACTCGTCCTCGCAAACGGTGGAGTGCTGTCATATCAGCATGCTCTGTGCCTTTCGTCAGACCCACGAAGAGAGGAGTTACCCTACCCGGACAGCCGCGGCTCCTCCGGCGATATTGTAGGAGCTCCGGTAGCGGTGGAGCCATTCGCGCAAGGAGAAGCCGTCGTCGAGACGTTCACGGTCCAGTTCGATCGGGAAGGCAATCCAGAGATGGCTTTCATCATTGGCCGCCTGCGAGAAAATGGCCGCCGTTTCGTCGCCAACCACGGCGACCAACGGACGCTGCAGGAGCTTGCTTCTTCTGTTGAGCATGTCGGAAAGGTTGGGTGCGTCGAGATCAGACGTGATGGGAGTGGAGACCCTGAAAGCAACGCCTTCTTTCTGGGCCCTAGGCCGAGGATGTAAGTACCTTGGATGCTAGCATCACATGAATTGAGCGCTTGAAAATAAACCTGATTTCAGTGTTCCGTGTCGAGCTACAAGTTGTTCATTATAGCGACTTGTATCACCGCAGTAGTCTCCAACCATACATTCCGGGCCCATGTGCTCCCTATACCGGATTAGATTCATGTGTAGCCTCATTTAACGTAAGCTTTTAACAGTCCAGAAGAGGCTGCTTTATAAATACAATCAGATTAGCCGTTATAGACTAAGTTTCAAAGTAAATTCCGACATGCATCTTAATGATAATTCTGAACGGGAAAAAACTATTAAGGTAAAAAGCGTCTAGGTGTGCGAACAATCAAAATTAGACGTGGGCTATAACCGCTAGCTAGGTACAGTAATATATCTCGACTAGTTCAATTTGCTGCGCAAGAGCATGGTCCTCTAATTATTGCATTCTGAGATCTCGGGCAGCAAAAAAGGAAAAGCGGGTGTCAAAAAAAACCCAAAAATTGAAAACAAGTTCTCGGATACGGGGAATCGAACCCCGAGCTGGTGAGTGAGAGTCACCGATGTTAACCATTACACCATATCCGACTACGGTGTGAGAACTGATCGACGGTCATTTTGCTTTATTATATAGCGTGGAAAACGACTCAGGAGCCAAAGAACAGCGCTTCCATCCACTCAAACTTGTCAAGCTTCAGCTGGGATAAAAAACTTGATTATGAATTTTGCAAAGTTTAAATATTTTAAGAGCCGATGATGTGCCTAATCTACGTGTTGATAAACCCAGCGGCCATCTAGGGCCACCTCTCGCTCCGCCTATTAGCCTCCAGTACAAGCTCAATCCTTTCATAGACATTGTCCCTCTGGCCAGTATCAAACCTATCTAGGTAGAGAGACCAGCGCAAAGTCATTTGTGTCGTCTGATTCCAGCTGGTTTAATTAGATCGCATCCACCTGTGCCCGCTCAAAGCAGACATCATGGTTGAAACCCAAATGATGCAAATTATTTGGCCACCCCATCTAGGTCTTTGCGTATAATCAGCAGGTACTATAGCTCCATCTCTAAGACGCTAATAAGCACTGTAGTCATGGCCTGTGGCCACTTAGCTGCTAAGTAACTGACGTTCGAGCACAACTTATCGCGCGTAATATTTTGGCTGTTAACCTTACAGTGGTTGCGTCTAAGTGGAGCTCTCTTCGGCTACCTAGTTATCCTTCCCAAGACGTCCTCGCATGGGGTCTCATAAAAACTCACCGGTAGCACAAAGGCTATAGGCAAACGGGTCACCTTCCCAGATCAACTTTCCATAGAGTCTATCGATAGTATGCAATAGGACATTAGAGAAATGTCTTGGATAGAGGGTCCTAATCCTATGGACCCATTGGAAGTAGATGGTAGACGTCATACAAAGAGAAAAAGGGCGTTCAAATCAAGGATTATCGAGTCCCAGGCAGATTTGTAGAATCATTGTACTGTATACAAAGGTGTGAACTCTTTGAGTCGACCACCCTGCCGTCAGCTGGCTAAACAATCACAGTCTGTGCGGCGCTATGGATCACACATCTGATATACTTTGACGTGACTTTGCGTCATTTATTGGCCAAACGGTCCAATTGTTGTGGTGAGGGCCAGTACAATATGATTTGGCTCATGTTGAAAGAAACAAAGATCGGATTCACGAGGCTGGTAAACACCATGATATGACATGGCTCGGTTGGAAACAACAACAAATTGCGTTCTCGTGAGTTCCTCACGAACTTGCTCACTGTCGGTCGCCCTTCTGTCAGTCCGGACTGAAGGCATGGGACTCATGGACATCAGACGGAGGAGTCCCATGTGCGGATGTGACGCGGCCGTAGTGATGAACGGTCCCGAGGTCGATGACGATCCATGACACCGCCAGCTTCGCAATATTTGCTTCCCCACTTATTCTTGCAGAAATTAAATTGCTTCGCGATAGATGGCCATGATTGCCCATTGATAAGAACTGCTCGGTGGCCCGGAATGCTTTGTCGAGTGTGGTTAATAAAGTCGGGGACCGGCGAGATCAAAACTTCGATCGAGAGGGTGATATTGGTGAACCTCATATGCACAGTCAACTCCGGGCAGCACTCCAATCAACTTGCGAGAATTTCGGATTGCGGAATATTTTATCTTTGAATTAGAAATCTGATGTGTCTGCCAACGGCTAGGGGCTCTTCAACCCGTCAATCCGTTACGTGGTTGTTGATGTCGTCATTGGAGATGCTGGTGGGTTGGAGATACGAGCAGAGGAATGAGTGGCCCGCCATCTACGAAGGACACCACAAACATCTCAACAAGTGTCGGATGATCTAGTCCATACTAAGCGCAATTATAAGTGACTCGCCTCGCGCTCCAGTTGAAGCTCGGTGAAGCCCCATAGTATGACGCACGGACGCCTATACTATCGGATGCCCAGATTCTAGAGTTGTCTACATGTTGTGTACTTGTCAACGTATCCGAAGCCCAATCGCAAGCTAAAGTTGTCCATTCGAGGTGTAATAACCGCGCCCTTTCTAGTCCACGAGTAGCAGCACGTGCCGGCGTGCGGATGTCTATTTCTGTAGATGAAAGCCAGCCGCTTTGGTGCTCCAGCTTGGCTGGCTGCGGCGGCTCCGGCAGCCCGGGAGACGGACACGGCACGGAACCGGCTTTAACTTGTTCTGGCTCAGCGTGGTGAGCTTGGGGACACGCCGTCGAGGATTTGTTTCAGCCGCTAACAAGTAGAATCAAGGGCGCGACCGAGGAAATGTCGGTTGCCGACGCTTAGGTGCACACAGAATGTTCACTTCGCTTTCGCTAGTCCGAAGCGCTGCATAGGTGCTTTTTGAGCTGCCCCTTAAACCGTGCTCTCGATCGAGTGGTGAGCGGGCGTAATTGTCCCGAGTCACCGGCATGGGACAAGTTTCCGCATGAGGTTGAAAGTGTTGATCAGAGCCTCGTTGTCCATCCCATGATGGGCACAGGGTCGTCCAACACGACGCAACCGACTCAGCACCGGCGTGCATTCTCTGCAGCACAGGAACCAGTGGCGAACCTACAATGCACTTCTTTCACAATACCTAGGTAGCCTTGCTGATCAGAGCCCCTTTCCTACCCGTAAGTTGATGCTTGCTGCACATCCCGGCTAGCAAGACCCACTCTCGCGCAGTACATTCCCTATGGGAGTGGTGAAGACGGTCACATTTGCACGCTTCATGCGATTAAGTCTGGGCTGCCTGCTCCTTTTTTAAAGATGATCTTGTCTAGATGGCACAATATGATTAGTTCGGCAATCAGTAGACTCATGCGTCGGAGACTATGTGACAGCCGCGTCTGATTTGATGTGACCCGGAGGGACATTCTGCATGGTTGATACGTGACGTGGACGAGTGGCGGGCGGATGTTTGCCTCTGAAGAAAGCTTGATATCCATCCGATCGGAGATGTTGCAACTTGCAAACTGTCCGCCCGGGCGGGTGAAGGTCGGCTGCAATGCGTGGACAGAGATCGGGCCTGTCAATAGCGGCCCGCTTTGACAGAGAAAACAATAGCGAGTCTGTCTGCGAGGTTGGAAATCGGCAAATGTTGCCCCCTCAGAGTGGTTTCGTCGAGGAAGGGGGTCGTGTCAGATCTGTGCCAAGTCGTAGCCCCGGTGGGGATCAACGGGCGCAGGTGGGCCGCAGGGAACGAAACACGGCGAGCCCAAATCGACAGACGTTGGGCGTGCAGCCGGCGGCAGGACGGCAGGGAGGAACGCAGCCAGGCCGCCCAGCAGCAAGATGCAGGGAAGCGACAGGCATGGGCGCAGCTCAAGCTTTCCGTGTCTTGTTCGGATCTTCAGACTCGGCGTTTTAAGAATGAGAGGGGCGTTTGGTTGATGACGGCCCCCAAGAGGCTAGAAACCAAGAGTCAGGTTTCGAGATAGGACGGGCGTGCAGGGACGGCCTTGACGGTCCTGACAACACGACTCCGCCAGACTCCCAGAGTCTGGGGAGAGCACACACAAGCTGCCAGCTTGTCCCCGGGGGGCGGGTGGCCACCAATTACGACGCTTCGGCGGCAGAAGAGACCCAGAAGAGAGGAGAAGGGGGGGGCGGCGCGTACGGTGGAGCGAGTGCAGTGGACTCGAGCGAGACCTAGATGCCAGACCGTGGAGGGACCCAAGCTCCCAAGGGGAATTGTGCAGAATGCTGCAGTAGCTGCACACGAAATACTATCGCGGACCGGGCCAGCCCACCAAGACAAGTCTCACAACATTTTGTTGCTGAAGCGAGCGAGGGCTGCGAGGGCTGCGAGGGTGAGGTGGGCGATTAGTACTGCAACTGCAGCGAGGGCAAGCCTCAATTGACGGGTGCCGGATAATTGCCAGACATGCCTCTCACGGCACACCAGGGTGATTCGCCAAGCTGCGTGGGCGTAGCCGCCGTCGATCGCGGCCAGATTGAGGGCGGTGGCACCAGGAACAGGACAAGCTTCCATCGCATAGTGTGCGCCGCAGATCATGACAGCTCCCAAGCCTTTCTGCCCCCTGATTATTGAGCAATTGAGGTCATCATTCTGACAACACAGCGTTGTGCCAGTACTCCGTACGTGTGGAGACAGTGACACCGCCAGCCAGCCAGCCAGGCCAGCCTGCGTGTTTTTCCCTGACTAGCACTGGCAGCGGCCAAACCGCCCTCCCTGCCTGCCTGCTTTGCACCTGGCCTTTGCGGTTGTGACGGCAGATGGACCCCGCCGACGGGCAGACAGCATGTCCAGAGGTGAAGTCATTTATTGTCGACTTCTTGTTGATGCTGCTTCATCAGCAGCAGCACGTGCCACCGACCCCCTTGTCATGCTCGCCATGCGCGTAGAATTGCGTGCCGTCGGCGGTGACGGGAACGGTAAGAATTTGACCCGGTGATTGACGAGGGTGAGGAAGGACGCCATGCTGGATTCTGGTCCATTCCTCCTCCAATGCGACGGTGGGCCCCCCACAACCGCGGCAAGCATCAACACCACGCATGATTTGGACTTGTCAGCCTCACGATAGTCTTGCATCAGGCGTCAGGTGCCCTCGGGCGTCCGGGGCGTCAGCCCGTACAGGTGCTGTCGTCTGGCCACCGTTGCATTGGTGGAGGAGGATTTGGCTGGGCACAGAGGAACCACGGCTCTGGGCGAGGCTGGACTGAGCTGGCTTCGCTGGCTGTGCTGGATACGAAGACTGGTAGTCAGCAACAAGCGTGCTCGCTAGGTTCAGGGTCCAGCGGGTGTGAGTCCATTCAGAAACGTTTCTGCTGCATGCGAGGAATCTTGACGCCAGATCTGGGTTAGGATGGCACGGATTGGCTCGACATGAGCCGACACAAGAGGACATCCAATGCAGCAGCCTGGAGCGAGTGCTACCATGCCTACCTGGGTACCTAGGTCCCCTAAGCTTCTAGCTTATTACTGTATGGTTGGTAGCCTGCATTCTCCGTACGGAGCTAGACTGGTACCTGGGTACCTGGGTACGGGGCAGGTACCGCGGTACATGTTCGAGACGAGACGAGACATTGCGGCTGCCCTGGTCCCTGCCCGTCCTCCTTCTCTTCATTCTCGGCGCGTTCGTCCCACGTCGAGCTACGAGAGCTTATTACCCACCACGTCTTGCATCCATGCTCTCTTCGTCTTCCTGACTGCGTTGGTATGGGCCATGAGTATGCCCCGGGTGCCTGACTGGTCATGGCGTGACCCACAGCGTCTTCTGGTCCTGGCTGGTCCTGGCTGGCCCTGGTCCTCGTCCCGTTCTGCATCTCGCTCTCCTCTGGCGTGCTCTCGTGTTACCGAGTACTCCTACTGCTACATGACACCGTCCTGACCGTCTAGACCACAAGCTTTACCGTACCTGCCCAGCACCACTCACCCTGCATACATACAATACCACCCCCCCTCCACATATTACTACTCCTGCACCCTTTCTGCCCCGTCCCGTCCCGTCTTGTTGGCCCTTAAAGACCATGATCGCCTCCCACCCTCAGGGTCTCACTTTGCTTGGCATCTCGCTCTCGGCAGCTTTGACGTCTTCATGAGACCTTGCCCGCTTCCCCTACCGACTTGATATTAGATGCTATCCACATCCTCTTGCTTGTATTGTTTCCAATCATCTGCTTCTGTTACCCGTGTCAAAGCTCACACTTCTGGGCACATCGTCACCGTCTCACCTTCACTTCTCGTGAAGGTGATCCACCCTCACTTTTGATCTCGTTCGAATACAAAACCGCAACCCGCGATGCCTTCAGCAGTCATGGGCCCCCGCGACGGGGCCCCCGCCGGAACACCAGGCCAGCAGCGCCAGTACATGCACCAAGGCCAAGACCAGCAACACCAGCAGCCACTACCACCACACTTGGACGACGGCGGCTCATCTAGTTCTCCGTCACGGAGCTCATATAGCCAGGACTTTGGCAAGCACCCCGACATCTCACAGCCGAGGAAGACGTCATTACTCTCCAGCCTGAACCCACGCAACTGGACCCGCAAAATGAGACTCTTCGCGATTATCGCCTTCGTCCTGGCCGTCGTGGCCCTTGTCCCAGGTAAATACCACCCAATGCTGTCCTCAAAAGACTTCCCAGAGGCTGATCATTGTCCTTTCCCCCGTCTTCCAGCCATCGCGGTGCCGCTCACACTGCGACAAGCAGACCACAATGGCAGTGTGGACACGCCTCAACTGGTCAACCCACCGCCCACCTCGTCTATCGCCGACAACATAGACCTGAGGATCATGCCGTTGGGCGCCTCCATCACCTTTGGCCTCAAGTCGTCGGATGGGAACGGCTACAGGGACAAGCTGCAGGAGCTGCTGAGCAGAAGTGGTACCTCCAACATCGAGTTCGTTGGCTCCCGCCGCAGCGGCAGCATGGCCAGCAACGCCGTCGAGGGCTGGCCGGGCCTGCGGATAGACCAGGTCCTGCCCAAGGCCCGGGCCTCGGTGCCCGTGGACCTGCCGAACGTGATCCTGCTGAACCTGGGGACCAACGACTGCGTGCAGAACTACAACCTCGACAACACGACCCAGACCAGCCCGACAGCCCCGGAGCTGACCGCCGACCCCACCTTCACCGTGGGCACGCGGATGCGGATGGTGGTCGAGGACCTGCTCGCGTGGAGCCCCAATGTGACGGTTGTCATGTCGACACTGATTAACAACCGCGTCGAACGGGTACAGGACCGCACGCTGGACGCAAACGACCAGTTCCGCTCCGTGGCGGCGGACCTGCAGGCGCAGGGCAAGAAGGTCGTCATCGCCGAGATGAGCGCCTCCGCGGGCGGGCCCAACATGACGACCATGTTCGACCAAACCCATCCCACAGACATTGGCTATGCCATGATGGCCAACCGCTTTTACGTAGCGATGCAGGAGGCCAGCGCCAAGGGCATGATCTCGGCTCCCCTGCCCAAGTGAGCAAGTGTTGCAGGCCGGCCAGTGGGCCAGCAAGCAAACAAGCAATCGAGATGCTTGGCAAGGCAAGGCAAGGCAAGGCAAGGCAAGGCAAGGCAAGGCAAGGCAAGGCAAGGCAAGGCAAGGCAAGGCAAGGCAAGGCAAGGCAAGGCAAGGCAAGGCAAGGCAAGGCAAGGCAAGGCAAGGCAAGGCAAGGCAAGGCAAGGCAAGGCAAGGCAAGGCAAGGCAAGGCAAGGCAAGGCAAGGCAATGCCAGGCAGATCAAAAAAGACAGCGTGCAGATGCACAGTACGCGATCGGCAGGTGTCTCATTGAACTCTATTTGATGAAGCACCCCCCGGGCTTGACTTGGGGAACCATGACTAGCGCGGGAAGGCGGGCGTGGGTTTACACTGCTTTGCTGCTTGGGAGTTGGGGAAGAACCTGCATCCGCTCACACGGGCACGGGGAGGAGGGGGAAACGGGGGTTTTGCGTTTCGCGCACGTTGCATTCGTCTGCGATTGACCTTCAAAACAAGCAGGGCGTTCCGGTCTGGTCGGGTGGTTCTACTCTATCATACCCCCCAGGATTGTTGGAGTGACTTGGTATTTGCTTAATGGACGGCGTTTTGGTAAGAGGTGGAAAATCGGCGGTGGGAACGGTGTCCAAATTTGCTTGAAGAGGTCACGGTTCTACTACTACTATTACTCCGTACTCCTACAGTACAACAACAACTACTACTATTGCGGAGTACTCACACTTGTTTGTCCCTCATTTAGAGATGTCCCGGATACCCTCTCCTCGAATAGAGTTGGAAACGCCGGGGCGATACGATTTCGGCCATGTTAATGTTATTTTTTGGACCCTCAATATGTCCTGGACGCACCGTTTCTTCCTTCGGCCCATTTTCGTGTGCTCCTGAGGTCGCTCGTGACTCGCCGGCGCTAGAACAGTATGGCGCGATAAGGGAGTTATTTTGAGCAATGGGGCCAGCCCGGACAGGATCCTAATTTTGATTGCCTGGCTGCCCAAGGTAACAGCAGCTAACTGAATTCATCGTCGTGGGTGCGTGGAATACCACAGTAACCCCAGAGATCCCGGCCGTCGATCGGTTCCTCCCAGGGCTGTGCCAAGCTTTTTGGGCCCCGGAGTGTCGGGGCAGCCTTCATTTTTCTTGTCTTCTTTGTGTTGCACTTCCAAGGGGGGTTTTGGGATGGAGGCACGGGCTGAACGGGTGGGTGGGGGCATGGGGACACAAATGAAAGAAAGGTACTCAGTACAAAGGGGACGTGCTCTGGCCGCTTCGACTCAAAGGGGTTCTAGAACGCGCCGACACGACACCCGCGTGAATCGCTTCCTCTTCTCTCTCTTTTTTTTTGGTCCCTTCAGGAGGATTCGCGGGCCAGCACGACAGGTGATTGGCCCTGGCGTACAAGTGACACCGTGGCCGGGTGGGGACGTGGACGGGACACTCGGTCGTATGGAATAAAAAAAAAATGGCGCGCGGTGTTGGCCGGGTGTACTCCGTACTTCGTAAGCAGCTGAAAGAGAGTTTCGTCCTCCGTTGTTTTTATTTTGAGTTCTGACCACCACCAGCAACCCATCCGCCAGCTGGGAGGTGAGGCGGTAAGGAAAACTGTGGCTGAGCGAGGCGTTCCTGCATGACCTGGTGCGACACTACCACTGTAAGCAGAGTAGTTCGCGGCCCTTTGCTGGCGCGATTCTTCGTTCTCGTCGGCGCTGACGATGAGTGAGCACATTGCGCCAATTGTTTTCTTCTTTCTGGGAGTTGCGGGTCAGAATCTCGTTTGTTCATTTCGTATGTACTTTCATGCTGAATACTGTACAACCCGTGTCGTGATCGAGTCAAGTATCAGAAATTCGCGTTCACCGACTCGCTCACCGGAGTCGCCAGTAACGCCCCATGGGTTGGGTCCTCCCAAAAGGAAAAAAAAAAAAAAACGCCGTCCGTCGTGCCATGGGCCACATAAAAACGCCTGTGTCTATGTACCCTTTGGAACCGAGACCCCAGATGGTGGCCCGAAGACCTTTTTATAATGCTCCGCGAGCCTCTCGCACATCCTCTTCCTGCCCTTCCATTCCTCTATGATGTCCTGAAGCTCACAGCCTGTCTGCACCATAATGTCCCAGATGCTCTGCTCCACATCAAAGCCAAATCTTTTCACCAGCTCGTCTTTCGAGCCGAGTAATCGTAGTCTCGTCTCCCCGTCGACCGACACCAAGTCGCCTTCGTCCACCAAATGGCCCGCATTCATCTTGGGTGTGTTGGAGTGCAGGAACATCGGCCGGATAGACTCGCGGCTCGTAGACTCGTGTTTGAGATCGTCCGAGGGGAGATGTTGCACCATGGCTGTCCCCTTCTGCGTGGCGCCATCGTGTCGGCCGAGGGATGCAGCTGGCGTCTTGATCCTGTAAAATGTGGCGTTGAGGGCGACTGCGGCTGCGAGGAAGGTCTCCTTGTCGCCCTCGCCGAGCGCGCCCTGGGACAATAGCGGGTAGTAGTAGTCGGGGCCAAATATGTTGTAGTAGGTGGCCAGGAGCAGAGGCGCCAAATGGGTCGCCTTGTTGACAGCGAGCTGGCCCGCCTCGCTAGCCGTGGCCGGCAGAAACGAGGGGAACTGTTGGCGGCCAGCTATGTTCCAATATTTGGGGCTCTCGGTGGCGCGCCAGAAGTCAGGCCATATGATCATGCCCTTGGACTTGTATGGCTCGGTCTCGAAGATGTTGAGCAGAGGATCGAGGACCGGGATGCTGTCGCTGTCGAGAAGAAGAACGTCCGAGTAGGAGGAGAGTAGCAACGCCAGAGACTTAAGCTGGTAGTGCGAGATCTTCAGGTCCGCATCGTCCTTCCGGCCGACCTTGATCTTGCTCTTGTCGAGTATGTCCGAGAGCACCACGCACCTGGCGCCAAGTTTCTTGAGGTAGTTCTTGCAGACCACCTCCTCGTACTCGCTTTGGTCAGGGACGAAGACCTCGACCGGGAGGTTGCAGCCGGTGCGACGCAGCATATGTATGCTGATGATGGCCGGGCCAAAGTACTCTCCCCCGCCCACCATGACTACCCCCTTTCCCTTGAATATGGGTAGGCCCTCCCATTTCGTGTCCTGGCCCTCGCCCTCAACGGTGCTGTTCAGAAATTCCTTCTGCAGTCCGCTGACAAACTTCTTGTGTAGCAGGCGCAAGATGTTGATGTCGTCTTCGGAGTTGCGAAGGTGATCTCGGTATGGCTCCCGGGTGACTTGTCCCTCCTTTGGCTTGTGTGCCTGCGCCCTGCCGCCAAGGGCTATCTTTGGCACTTTTGGACGTGATTCGTATATAGAACGACTCCACTTCTCCCAGAAGGCCTCGATCTGTTTTGTATCTCCAACGGCCTGCTTCTGTATATCATTGTCGCCCTTGCTTTCCTCGCTTGGGGGCACGGCCGCCTTCGCGTCCCCCTTTTTCGCGTCAGGGTTCGAGTCGGCGGCAGCGGGGCTGTCGACGCCGTGGGCCTTGTCATCGACGGGCTGCGCGACGGCCGCCTTGCTGTCGTCGGCGGGCTGGTCGAAGGGCAAGATGACCTGGGGCAGCTCTCTGTTCTTGGCCTTGGCCTGTTCCTCTGCGGCCTTCCACTCGGCCGAGACTTCCTCGATGGCTTCCTCGATTGTGAACTGGACGTTCCGGCGATATCGGATCAGGACGACAATGAGGGCCACGAAGGCAACGACGGCCAACAATCTCCTGGTCAGCCGCATCTTCGGGGGCGTGACTGCTGCTACGTCTGCATTGTTGGTTGTGGGGCAAGTAGCGATGGGGAGGCCAGCGGGCACGGAAGCCAAAGCGAAGCCAAAAGCGAGTGTGCAGTCGCAGGCCCAGAAGCAAAGCGGACAGCAAACAAAGGAAGGGCCTGCAGACCGGGTTTGGGTGGATTGGCGGGAGGGGGAGGAGGAAGCAAGGCAAAGCTTTGCAACGACGAGGTTGCTTAGCCAGGTTTAGCTTGGAGATGGGCGGTGGAGGTCGAGGTCGAGGTCGTTGGTAGCACCAAGTAGTGTTGCTAGTAGTAGTGATTGATTTCTCCTTATCGTGCCGCTGCAGCAAAAGGACGCCATGGGGGAAAAGTGGACATTCCTACTAGGCACTTGGCAGGTAAGCCGTAGGCGGTAGGCGGTAGGCGTGCACTAACACACACCCCGAAGATCCCTGGCGCGCAGCTGGACTCAGGGGCTGACCAGCCGCAGACAGGCATGCTTGGTGGGTTGAGAATAGCAGTCCTGAAGCCGAGGATGGTGGACATGAGTTTTACCAAAGACATGAAAAGTAGCATAGATGTCTGCTCTGAATATCTGTTCAGAAGATAGATGATGACGAGATGTTGTTATAAAATTGGCTGCCCAGGTGGTTGGTTATTTTAAACGGTCTTGCCCTCCACACAGTACTGCCAGTGTGTACTGTGGTACCTAGGTACCCGCTCGGCGGATTGGGTGGTGCCGGCCACACTGACGTCACCAGCTTCCTTGTCTGTGTCGCCAATGCTTCGAAACTGACCTCGCACCAAAGCAGGTCTCTGTCTACATGTGTGTGCTGTAGAACTGTAGATGGTGGCCGCTGCAATCATGTCGAATTGAATTCGTCTCATCTCTTGATCAGCGCAAGGGAGGGTCGTCGATACTGCAGCAAACCTGCCAGAAACCCGCCAGAAAATTAAGCTTCCGGGAGCCAGCTCTTGGTACCAAGCTGCAAATGCACAGCAGGAGCTCAAATCACCATGGCCGTAGTCCATCCAGGCTTGGCAGGGGTGTGAGCCGTTTGGGCCGAGCTCTGCAGCAGTGCAGCAGTGCAGCAGTGCAGCACGCTGCCAGACGCGCAGGCCATGCATATGACCTCATCAGCCGGATCATCAGCCATCATCTGCTTGATCGACCACTGGCAGCTAGCTATATCAGACAGCCTGGTTCCGGCCTCGACTTCACCCACCTCGCGCCCATTGCCAAGGCGTATCGTATCATTCTGCCCACGCCATCTTTCTCGTCCCGCCCCTGCTAGCTCCAGCCCCTGTTCGATCAAGCACCGAGATGGTCGGGAGAAATGGCCTGAATGCCTTTGGAAGCGGCAGGACCGCCGAAAGCTCTGGCGCGAGCCAGAGATTTAACACCAGCGCCCGCCGGCAAAGCGGAGCAAATCCATATAAGCCAAAGCCTGCCATCTTCCGTTTCCAGGATGGCGCAAACCACGCCCTGGAGGACCAGAGGAGGAATCAGCTCAAGCACAAGCTCATCGACTCGGTCAAGGGGGATGAGCTGGAGAAGTTCCGCAAGTCCGACGACGAGCTCAAGTCCATAAAGGACAAGAAGATCAGGCACTTCTACGAGGACCAGAACGAGACCCTCGACGACTGGCTCGAGATCGACTCCGTCGTCCGCAGCATCGCCGATGATATCCTGGAATCCTTCGACCCTGACAGAGACCACGATGGCCACCGCGAACACGCAGGCAACCTGCAGCTGCAAAATGAGGACGTCGAGGCATTCCTCCCCCAGCACGAGATAGACAACCGTAGGAAAGCAGAGAGGAACGCCCGAAGGGCCATCAACGTGAGTCTTCGCTTCCTGTCCTGCTCCCACCACAACCTGAACAACCCACCAACAACCGTCCTAGGTGAACGTCGCCGCCAACATCTTGCTCCTGGCTGCCAAAGTCACAGCCTGCTTCTTCTCCTGTAAGCAGCTTCAAGACAATATTCGTATTAAGCCCCTTCTGCGGTTCTTCGACGGCTAACTCCTGTCGCTGGAAAGCCTCTCTCTCCCTTATCGCGTCTACCGTGGACTCGGCACTGGACTTGCTCTGTACCATCATCGTCTGGACCACCAACCGCCTGGTCCAGTGGCGTCTCACTGCCCTTCAGCGTCGCTTCCCCGTCGGCCGCAGGAGGCTCGAGCCGCTCGGAATCCTGGTCTTCTCCATATTCATGATCCTGTCCTTTGCACAGATTCTGCAGGAGTCAGTCGAGAAGCTCATGCCCTCAGGCGACCACACCACCGTTAACCTCGGAGTTCTCGCCATGGCCGCCATGATTGCAACCATTGTCATCAAGGGTATAATCTGGTTTGGTTGTATCAAGGTGAAAACAACCCAGGTCCAGGCCTTGGCACAGGATTGCAAGACCGACGTCTATTTCAACCTGCTTTCGCTCTTGTTCCCCTTGATAGGGAAGCAAGTCGATGTCTGGTGGCTCGACCCCACGGGCGCCGCAATCCTTTCCCTGTTCATCATCTGGGACTGGGCCGGCACCGCCTTCGAGAACGTCACGCGCCTGAGCGGCTCCGCCGTCGACGACAGGCTCTTCCGGAAGCTCATCTTCCTCGCATGGCGGTTCGCTCCGATCGTCGAGGGGTTTAAAAATGTACAGGCGTACCATGCTGGTGACGGCGTCTGGGTCGAGGTCGACATCTTGTTGGATAGTCGCACCCCGCTTATGAGGTCCCATGATATCGCCGAGACATTGCAATACTGCCTTGAGGGCCTGCCCGAGGTCGATAGAGTAAGTCTCTCATTCTAAAAGCTTCTTCGCATGCCTGTGCTAACATTGACATGTAGGCATTTGTGACTACTGATTACGCCGAGTCGGGCCCGACTGGTCACAGTTCGAACCAGTGTTGAGGGAATCATCAAGGGCCTTGAGGTACCATTCATATCACAGGTCAAAGAAAGCATTAGCATTTAGCATCCGATTACTAGTGTGTTCTGTTGACTAGAAAAGACTATTTAATTTGAATTCAGGTGTAAAGAGACTTGATTGCTTTCCCCATCAGTTAAGCTCGAGACAGCCTTTTCCCGTCGCTGGCGATGTGACCGTACTGGGACAACGAAATTGTGTTGTTTTTACAAAACAAAACTAACCAGGCCGATATTGGTCAAGCCTTTGCATTACAAATACCGGTTTGCGGAAATCGTCTCGCATGATACTGGTCGCTATTTTAGATTGTCCGGATAATGCAATAGCCATTGCGCACCAATACATGCATGTCTGTCACTGTTGATCAGCCAGTGGAGAGATGACGTTTGCAATCCTGTCATAATCTTCCAGCGACCTCGTGGAGGCCCAGGCCCCGTAAATGCACAAGGTGTTACCATAGCTCCAAGATAAGCATTGACTCCTTGCAAGAACTCCCGCCAACAGTGGTACCGGGAGCTTGCAAGTGGACCGGAGGATCACCAAACCACATAGCACTAGTCTAGTCGCCAAAGAACCGAAGCCGTAATCTTATAGTTGTTTTCGCAGCTGCCTGATGGGATCAAGATAGGACGCAGAAGAACCCACTTCGGCGCAGGTGCCTCATATGCAGCTCCGGCTCGCAGGCACAACAGCCACGGTAATATCGCGCACAGGTTCATCCTGACTGACCTTCACCGCGTAGTTTGCATTAGTCAAGATCAAGTCCTTTGTTCCTCTCTGTTCTGGACGACAAATTCATGAGAATTGCGAATCGCCAACTTGATTATGTGGGACGGTGCAAGGCCGTCGCGTGACCTATCAAGCCCGGCCCAGCCACCGCGGAACCGGGCGGGGGGGAGTCACCGACTCGTAGAGATGCATGAATCTGAGCAGATCCTCCTCGCATCCATCGCGAGCCATGAGGCACAGCCCGAAAGGACGCTGGTTGTAGGTCAGGTGGCCCAAAGGCACTGTTGCGATAGGATAGCCTGATAGTGTGCATCGTCAGTTGGCCTTGCCTGGTGATTCAGTGTTCACGTCCAGCTTTTGTGTCCTGTGCTTACCGGCGGCTGCCGCATGGATGCAGAGCGAGGAATCAGCAGGGGCCGCGATGATGTTGATCTCGTTCTCTTGGAAGACTGGTTCAAGCACAGCTTTTGCTTGTTTGCGAAGACCATCCCTGAGTCGCGCAACGTTCTCCTTTGTATCTGTGTTCTCAAACGCCTTGACAATATCATTCTGTTCGGTATATGCTGGCAATGTTTTAGTAATATGACTCAAATTTTAGGACGCAATAGGGAGTCACCAACGATCAGGCATTGCTCTGTCCTTGTTCTGCTGATTGAACCGTATTATATCTTCCAACGTCTTTACTGGACACTCGTCGAAAGCTCCAAGAAATCTGGGAATACAAACATTCTTGAATTCCCAGACTTTTTGTTGTCAGTTTGCCTCCGAAATTGCTTAGCGTCAGGGTGATCTCGTACAGGCGATTGGCATGATTGCCTCTTCTCCATCGACCGTAAGGACGGAGATATCCGGGATAGAGACCGGATACTGCACTTGGCAAGCAGTAGATTTCAAAACCTCTATGCATGAAACATACTTGAGTTCCTGCGAGCAGTTCGTTAGCATATACCATGTGCAATCATTGCCAGTCCCAGACTCACCATCTCTTCCACTGTCCCTTCATGCTGTCGACACATTGCCTCGGCCATCTTCCACACTTTTTGGTCAGCAAACCCTACAGAGATATCTCCATAGTCCCCTACACCACCTGGAAGGAATTTCGTGTGCAGCATGACTTCTAGTAATGCTTGAACGTCCGCAGCGCTTTTTGCCATCGGCCCGGGGCTGTCAAAGAAGTCTGTCAATGAGTATGATCCGGCCATATCCTGCACTCCAGCTGTTGGTTTCAGAGCGTATAGGCCAGCCCGCGATGCTGGCGTGATTATAGAACCAATAGTCTCTGCACCGATGCCAAGTGGAGAAAAGCCCGCAGCAACTGCCACAGCAGACCCCGTTGACGAGCCGCCAGGTGCCTGAGGATGCGTGAGTAAAGGCAAAATTCATTAGAGGCCTGCGTAGGGACCTACCGAGTGGCCTAGTATTGTGTCGCCGTTCTCGACTGGCCCGACGTACGGAGAGATCGTCTGACCACCGTAGGCCGACCATCCAGGCATCATCATGGTCATTTTCATACCCGCAAATTCCTTTGGTTCTATTCAGCAAAGCCATTAGTGCTTCGAAACAGTAAGTCCTCTCACCGTCATATTTGTCTTGCCGAGAATAATCAGCCCCGCATCGAGCAGCTTCTGTACCACGGCGGAATTCTTGCTGCTCTTAGCACCAACGAGCGCCCATGATCCAGCTGTGGTGGACATTCCAAGATGTGCAGCGGTAATGAAACAATCCTTCACCATGGTCAGAATGAAAATTTCGTTATTGAATCGAACCTGTGATATGCAAATTCTGCTCACCTTCACTACAACCGGTATTCCATGCAGCTGGCTGCGTAAGCGGCCTTCGGACCTTTCTTTGTCCAGCGAGGCAGCTGCCGCAATGACATCTTGCTCGGGAGCCAGACAAATGAACGCCTTGATTGTTGCATCGTGCCTGGCAATCTGGCTTTGGTACGCTTTGACTAACTGCACACTACTAGCTTGTCTGGTCTGCAACAAATCTCGCAAATCTGAAGCATTGGCGGAGAGGATGTCTAGCCTCGAAATGTCCATGTTTGTGGCGGGTGGCTTGATAGAAGGTACCCTAGGGTAGCTTTGGAATGGGAGAAAGTGGAAGTCAACCGGCACATTGACAAAAGCGTCAGCAGGAGGAATGGCCTACGGGGAATGCGTGCGTTTGTCTGAAAATGACCTGCACTTAGCGGGTTTTGTAAATCGTTGTAGCCACCACGTATATGCAATGTCTTAAACGCACCTTTCTTTACCTGGGTATTGTTCAGCCCCATCGAACATCGAGGACTCTTTCACCCGCTTAAACCAATATCAAGTATACATGACACCTTTTAGGTAAGCCCCTCGCATCAACTTTGCCTTCCTAGCCTAATCTCGCTTTTCCAAGAACGACGGGAGAGACTTCGCTCTGGCAAATGGGCACAGTTCTTTCTCACTTGATGCACTGGCATTTGTCAAATGATACCGTGGCGCCATCACCAAAACACAGAACTCAACAAATGATTTACGTGAGTAGTGCATCAATGGTGAACGAGGGTTCGAAAGTTCTCTCATTCCATGCCGCTTCCGCTGCACATGAGGCCTCGGAATAGCGCTACCCAGGTACAGATGGGCCTAGGTACGACGATTCAAAACGGTTTTCGTGGCCGCTAGGCGGTCTGAAATATCTGTAACGGCATGAAAACCACCTTGGATTACTCGCACGGCCTTCCAAAGACGGCTACTTCTCGATGAGAGACGCATCTTAGGTCTGGCCCTCGCAGTGCCCGAGTTTTATTCCTGAAAGCGCCATACGCGAGGTGTGCTTTAGTTGAAGAAGATGCTCATTCAAAATTTATTAAGGACATATTGTTGCAGCTATTGAAGGATTCCTACTTGGTCGAGTGTGGTAAAATATATGCAGTATAACTCGATGTGCGGTCCCGCTTGCAAGCTGATGAAACGAAAGAACATCAGTCAAATGAGTGTGGAGGGCACAGAGTGGCTGATGCAGAGCGAGCTGATCCATTGCCTGTTGGGCCTTCAAATCCCAGAATCATCCTGCTGGACGAGCTGGTTGAATGATCCCCAAGATTGGCATGTGCTTCTCACGGCGATCTGATCTCCAGTCGGCATGGCTCCAACTATCTCACTCGACCTCTCTATAAACTCCAGAGCAAAGCCTCCAGATGCGTGCCACGCTATATGACAATGAGCCAGCCAAGTGCCTTGGTTGTCCACCTTGAACGCTATTGCGAGATACTATGGCCCAATTCGTCAATAAAAACGTTTCCCGGGTTCATTTGTCACGGGCAAATTCTTACCCCATTGCCAGGGAGTGTTGCTACATCACGACGAGGCGGATTAGTTGTGGTGATGTTGGTGGTAGTCGGGTCGAAGGTCCCGATATCTTGGGCGAGGACCCAGAAATCGTGACCGTGCAGGTGGATCGGATGGAACAAACCGAATCCAGTGCTGTCCTGGATCACAACTGGAACTGTGTCAGTATCGAGGCTCTGGGGGAACATAAAACCGTGACATGTGCACCTTTCCAAGTATAAAGGGAAGCAAAGACATACGCATGACCCAATCAGACGACGTGCCATTGACCGAGACAACATTGTACTCGGTAGGGAAAGTAGTGTTGCCAAGGATGACCCGGTCCAGCGTAGGGGTCGCCCAGTCCAGGAGCAAGCTGCTGCCATTGAGTGTCCACTTGAAGTAGGTATCAAACTTGAAATCAAGATTTTCTGTAGCGGTTTGGGTCACAGTGCCAACGTCCAGGGCGACATGCGGCACGAGGCTCGCAGATGGCTCGTCGTTACAGGTCGCGGAGGTGGTGACGGCAGAGGTGGTGCTAGGCGTCGCGGTACTGCTGTTGTCATACCGGACGATGCCCGTTATGTTCCTCGGATTGGCGTTGGTCATGCACGCGTCGACCCAATTGCCACGGAGCCAGTAGTCGCCGGGTGTGGCGTTCGCCTCGACGATGACGTCGTACCGCTGGCCCATGGTCAGCAGCACCGAGTCAGCATTATAAGGCTTAATGGGCACAAGGTCGTTGGCTATCACAAGGAGAGAGTGGCCATCAATGCTAAACTGGAAATGTCCGTCGATGGCGCCGTTGATGAGCCGGATTCGGTACTTCTTGCCAGCCTCGAACCTGGCCTCAAACTTCCTGCCAACTATACCTGTGCATGTGTCCAAGGAGGTGCAGTTATAAGTATTCGTCCCATTGATAAGACCATTATCCAGGGTTGGTGGGGCGCCCTGCTTGGCCGTGTCCCAGAGCGCGAATGCGGTCTTGTGCGACCAGTCTTGCAGGAGCACCGTTCCGAGGTCTTCGTCGTAGTCCGCTGTTGCCGGGCCGTTGATTATCATGGGCCCGAGGAGGCCCATGCCATACTGTAAACTCAGGTGGCTGTGATACCAAGTGGTACCGTATTGTGTAAGGTGGAAACTATATGTGAGCGAAGTTCCTGGAGCGATAGGGCACTGCGTCACCCCCGGCACACCATCCGCAGCCACCGAGTTGAGCTGGCGGATCCCATGCCAATGGATGGCGGTTCCGTTGACCGGTAGGTTGTTGGTAACATGTATATTGAGACGATCTCCCCAGTCAGCCTGTACTGTGTTTAGCCAAACTCGATTACAAAGGCTCTCTCTAACGTCTCACCATGATGAGGGGGCCAGGAATTGTTCCATTGATAGTCTGGCACGTCGTATTGACTCCGTCCGGGGCACAAGGTCCCTCTTGGATAGAAAGCCATATTTCACGGGTGATATCTGTATTAGGGAAGACATCGTAATAGTTGGTGTCGATGCCGAAGTTACCCCAACAACCGCGCGAAGTAGCAGAGTTCTGGCAGGAGGATTGTCTGGGTATCAAATTGGGGGTCAAGTCATGAAGCGAAGGCAGACTCATGGCCATTGAGCTTGGGGCAACAGCCAGGAGCGACACAGTTGACAGCTTCATGTCAGTTAATGAAATCAAAACGAGAGTTGATTAAAGAATGTAGGTTGTCTGGGGCTGCCAGAAGAAGTGAACATTTGAAGTAGCGGGCAGAAGTCAACATTTGGATGTAAACCTCGTCAACCGGAGCGCTTCCTCATATAAGATATCACGTTTCGGTTTCCTAAGACTCAGCCGACAACCATGATGGATCTCGTAAGTGCCGATAATGGATACTTTAAAAGTAGTGAGCCCGGCAGCGGAGGGAGCTTACCCATCCTTTCATGAGGACAGCGCTCGAGACAACCATGCCATGCCCTTTTTTGGGATTTCGGGTAAGTGTCCTCACGCGCTCACCAGCGTCTCATGTCCAAGCGCGTATAACCATCTTCCACTTCGTCTACTACATTACAGATCTGTGTGATATTCGGAGACGCGAGTTTTCTATGTCCGGGGTGTGCTAAACATAAAGAAGGCATATGACCCTTGCATGAAAGCCCTGATATGCACCCTAACGTATTGCATTATGAAGCAGTTCCTCGTGTTGTGCTTCAAATGTTGTGACCCCCTGTGGCCAAGACAGCATCAGCCAGCGATGCAGATCGGACGGGGGCTGAGGTTGGGAGGAAAACGCCCAAAAGATGGCTGTGTGAGGTCTTCATTAATGCTGGTGGTTTAACCCTGCATGTCAATGCGGCTCGTGAACTTTCACCGTCGTCCTAAGGCCTGTCCTGTGCCCGCCACGGTCAAGAGCCCCCTCCCTATCCATGAGTAAGAGCCATACCGTCCAACGCGACAGTACATGGCCTGTCCAGACGAACGGGCTTTGACACAACATGAAGTTTGTGAGCAAAGCGGGTCGGTATTATGTGAGACTGGCCTCCACGCCCGCATTAGACTTTCGATAATACTACCTTCCGTGGTCGCCAGCCATAGGTTGCGGCTCCATCCCACTCCATGTAACTTTTCGGTCTGGCAAACCGACTTCCTTGCAACCTTGAACCGGCATAATCGGCTCCAGGAAGGTTTGGATCTACCCGCTTCTCTGGTTGTATCAAGCCCAACGCTGAAGTAGCTAGATCGGTCGAAGTCGCCCGACCATTGATGCGAGGTGCCTGCCTGGCTTTCACTTATCAGCCTCGAGACATCAGAACAATGCCGAGGTCATGAATGTTAGGACTAGAGGTCAGTCAGCTGTAATCATGCCAGAGCTTGTAGATACGTGCACATCCCGAGGGTTGAATTCCACGGAATTGACCTGGATTACTCCACACATGTCTCTTTGACTCCTGAATCCGTCACATGTTCCTAGCAGCCATGCAGGTCATACAGTTCACAGTCATTACGCGGGAAAGTGGAGACTGACGCATGTATAGCAAGTTACAATTCCGATCCACGATGACTACCAAGGGCGGTCTGCCCGCACTTTTCGAGCGCAGTGGAGGCATGCCTGCGGGAATGCCGAGAGGGCCCCTACCAACAGTAATATGCATTTTCGCTTGCCTGCTACTAATAATAACGCCACTGAGCCTCTTCATGCTCTCGATCTTAGGGCCGTTGATGGTTTGAGTTAGGGCTATTCAAATGTTATCAACGAAAGTTGAGTTTCTGCGGTTACTTCCGCTTCGGCCAACCAGGACTTCGGAAGCCGGGCGGATGCATGTGCAAGCAGATTCAGGATGTCCCCTTGTCTATATCGGCATATTCAGCTGTTTTCATGCACAAGGAACAAGGGCTTGGGGGAGCAACTTCCAGAGACCAGCCAGCCTCGTATAGCTGTTTTTGAAACACGTGTGTTCTGTGATGGACGTCTAGATATACGACTCAGGCATTTTGGCATTATATGCCAGTGGAGTCTGTCACAATTGATTATGGCTGAGACCCGTTGTTGTGGGATTGTAGGTTACCGCGACCGGCCAGTAGCATGTAATCACGGTTGGACGGGCCTGTCTTGCAGTGGTTCGGGCCCGAGATGAAGACACGGAAAGCTAAGAGAAGGGGAACTTTTGCGTCTGGACCAATTAAGTGCCCTACATCAAGAGAACCAGGAGTCCCCTGTGCGCCAAGCCGCGTGGGAGAAAAGTGTGTGCACACTGCATGCATGTGTCAGGGTTGTATTGCACATGGTCTCCTGTATTTCCACAACCTCATGGTTCGAGGATCAGTGAAGTGACCTGACACTAGCAGGTCACAGGCCCAAAACCAAGGTCGATTGCGCGAGGAGTTCGACTGACCGTTTATTCGCTTACGCGTCGATCTGCGAGGCAACGCTTATATCATGGTTGCCTGTGCGGTGTGATCAGGGATTGAAGTCCTCAAGCGATGGGAAACGGTGAGTGGGATGGAAAAGCTTGTGCGTTGCATATACTAGGCCTCCACATACCCTGCTCCACTCATACAAGGTGGGATGCGGTCAAGTGACATTTATCCCTATAGCTCACATAATATTTAAATATAATATTTAAATATTATACTATTTTTTTTAATATTTAAATATTATACTATTTTTTTTAATATTTAAATAAAAAAAGAATATTATTAATACTTAATAGTTTTAAGTTCTCCTTTTTAATAAAATAGTTATTAGTTTAATTTTTAAAAACTACTTCTTATAGTACTTCTTATTATCCTTAAATATTATATAACTTATATAATCTAAATCCTCCATTCTAAATACCTTATAATAATTAATAAAAAGTTTAACTTAAATTTAGTTTTATTATACTTTATATATATCTTCTTTATCTTTTATTATAAAAGTAATTATAACTTTAAGTATTATTTTAAATTAAATTATAAATAGCTTAAATATTTTATTTATAATTATTTTATAAATATTAAAGAAAAAATTATATTATTATTATTTATATTTATTAACTTTTAAATATTAATTTATTAATAATATTAAAATTTTTTAAATAATATTATTAAAATATTTATATTATTTTATTTTTATTTATATTATAAAGAATATTAAAAATATTTATATTAATAAGCTTAAACTTAAAGGAATAAATAGTTAAATTTTAAAATTAAAGCTAATTTTTATATTCTTTAAAGTAGTAATTTAAAATAATATTTTTCTTTTAGAAATTAATTATTAAAAGAATTAAACTTAAGGTTTTATTTAAAAGAATAAATTTTATTATTTTATTAATTATATTAATAAAGTCTTAATTAAGTAAAATATATTTAATTTAATTTACTTATATTAAAGAAATTAAATAATATTAATATTTTTATAAAAATATTTTATTAAATTATAAAATATTTTAAAATATATTATATATATATATATATTATTTAATTTTATATTATATTTTATATTATATAATAATATTTCTTTAAATATTATTAAAAATAAATATATTTTAAATTTTATAATTTAATTTTAAATATAATATTAAATAAAAGAGTAATAAAATATTAATATATAATAAATAATACTTTAAAAATAACTTATTTTATATTTAAAATATTTTAAACCTTTTAATATTAATTTATTTATTTTAATACTTTAATATTTTAATATTATAAAATATAAAACCTTTTACTTATTTATTTATTTTAATTTTATATTATTACCTATTAACTAATAGTCCAAAACTATAAAATTATTATTTATTAAATTACTTTAAACTTTATATTTTAATATAATATTAAATATAAACTTTATATTTTAATATAATATTAAATATAAATAAGCTTACCTTATAAATTTAATATTACTACTACTTTATTATTCTTTTATAAATCTATATTAAAATATTACTTTATATTAAAATACTATATTTAAATAATACTTATAATATATTTAAATAATACTTATAATATATTTAAATAATACTTATAATATATTTATAATAAATATTAAAATATATATTAATATAAATTCTTTTATATTATAATAAAATATTTAAATATTTAATATTAAATTAATAATAATACTTTAAATATATAAATATAAATATAAATATATTAAAAATATAAAATATAAAATATAAATATAAAATATAAATTATTAAATTAAAAGTAATATAATATTCTTTTTTATATATTTATATATTTTTATAAGTTAAATTTTAAAACTTATATTTAAGTAATAATTTTCGTTATTTAATAATTTTATTTATAATTAATTTAAATAAAATTATATTATAGAAATATATATATATATAAATTAAATAAAAGTAATAAATTAAATAAAGTTAAGAAATATAAAATAAAATTATTAATTTTAAGTTTTATAATTATTAAAAATAATAAAATAATTACTTTAATATTTATATTTATTATATATTAAAATAAAAATATTTAAATAAAAGATTAAATAAAAATTTAATAAATAGTTAAATAAATTTTAAAATAAAAACTTTATTAAAAGTTAAATAAAAATTATAATTTTAATTATATATTTTATAAATTATATATATATAATATAAAATAATATATAAGTTATATATATATTATTAATTTTAATACTTATATTTTAATATATAATAAAATTATTTAATATAAAAATATAATATTTTAATATTAAATAATTTATAAAAATACTTATTAATTTATTATTTTAAATTAATTTTATTACTATTTTAACTATAAAATAAATTAAACTATTCTTTATATTTAACTTTATCTATTTATTTAACCCTAATTATATTATAAGAATCCCTAAAGCTTAGTTATATTTTATAATAATCCTCTTATTAAACTAATAAATATATTATATTTTTTAATTAATATTTATTAAAATTAAATAAATTAAAATAATATTTACTTTTAAAGTTATATATTTTCCTTTAACCTTAATATACTTAAAATATACCTTTTAATTTAAAAGCTAAATATAAAGAATTTATATAGCCTTTTATTACTATATTATAAATCTTATATTAATATTAGTTATATTTTTATATAATTAAAATAAGTTATACCTTTTATAGTTAAGGAACTTTACACTAATTAACTTAATATAATCTTTTATAAAACTTAAATAAATTTATTATTTAAACTATTATACT